AATTCATAGATTTTTTGCATTAATTTATCAGTTTTCAGTCTTCTCTCAAATGTTACAAGATTCAGGATTCCCACTTATTTTCCACTGACAAAATTCTATATCTATGAGCTGCCACTCATCGGTTTATTCCAACTTTTTTAGTTCAAACAAGTACTTAAAATTCCTGGGTGACTAATAGGCTCTTTGCACAGTAACACCTGGCAACCGCACTATTAGTGTCACTACTTCCTGTCCAATTTTATGGTTCCATGCTTCTATTTAGACATTGACGTCTAATTGTCGGAGTAACGGCATAAACATTTTTCAAGCGTCCCCTTACTTCAACTTTTTTTTTTCATTGCCGGAGTAGCGGGACTTTACTATTTTTCAAACATTCTGCTTTTCCGACATGAATACCGTATTTTCCGCACTATAGGGCACACTTAAAAGCCTTTCATTTAATCAAAAATGACTGTGCACCTTATAATCCAGAGCGTCTGATATATGAATTTATTCTTAGTACGACTTTAGTAAACTACAAAGCCGCACCACTTGCAGCATTACGGCTCCCGTAGTCAGGAGCATACTGTGATTCCTTTTAATATCAAAATGCATGCTTACAATGCCCACTTTAAACTCAAGGCTTTTATGAAGTAAAAGTGCGAGCTGTGTGGGAGGAGTGGATGAGAGAAGGCAAACCAAGACACCAAGACAGAGAGACAGCGCCGAGCGACTTACGCCAAGACCGGAATCATCACTGAACTGCAACTGTAACAGTAACGACACTGACTCGGATAAAGATGAGAGGGATGTGGCCATGCTGGAAGCCGTAATCACCCAACTGTTTGAACAATTATGACCTATTGTGAATACACTAACAATTTAGTGTCTCCGACAGTATTTTTTTTACACTTTACAAATGAACAAAGTTAAGAGTTATTGTGAAGGCGTTAAATAAAGTTTGACTGACTGTTGTGTTTCGTTTAATTCGCCTTATAGTCCGGTGCGGTTTATATGTGAAAAAAGTTTGAAAATTGACCATTCAATGACAGTACGCCTTATGATCCAGAGCCCCTATATTGCGCAAAATACGGTAATATTAATGCGATAGCCTAGGGTAAATGGTCACATTTTTCTAAAGCGCTTTTCCACCTTCAAGGTGGTCAAAGCGCTTTACAACAAGGAACCACTCACCCATTCACACACCAGTGTACGCAGACACTGTGGGCAAGGTGGGTTAAGTGTCTTGCCCAAGGACACAACAGCAGCATTCATCTGTGGGAGCTGGAATCACATCAGCCAAATTGTGGCTCAGTTGATCTGACCGCTCAGCCTGTGATGTTTATGTCAAGACCGGGATTCGAACTACCAACCTTCAGATCAGTGGGCGAATGCTCTACCAACTGAGCTACTAGCCTATTACTTACTATACTTACTATACTACTACTATTACTATACTTTGCTCAGAGAATACTTCAGCCACACACATAAGATATCAGACAGTGAGAAAATGTCCTAAATGATCGACGTGGGAAACAGTCATGCATTTTAAAAGAGCACAGGCCAGCCTTCAGGAAACTACCTAACCTAAACCAGAGGCTGCATGCGCCCTTTGTGCTTCATTCATTTCATCATGTAGGCCATCTGCGGAGAAAAACATACAGCCTAAATAAATAACCAATCAAGTTCATTGTGGCAGTTCAATGAGACGACACTCTTGCAGCCTAAAACACACTTATGACGTGTCGGAATAGAGGTACTAAAAAGTGTTGGAAAACCAGCAAATCTAAATAGAGGCATGACTGTGAATCAAAAATGTATGATAAATAATAAGATGAGGGACATCTCCTTTAAACTTATGCACAAAATTTACAATACTAACTACTAACCCCAGCTGCAATTTTTGTAAAGAATATCCTGAAACAATAAGTAATCTTTTTTGGAAATGCACTGTTACCAAAATTTTTTGGAAAGACTGCTTAAAATGTAACAAAGATCATACTGACTAAAGCTTTTCAATAAAATTCCAACATATTATTTTTGGTATACATGAAAAGAACATGAAAAGAACATCCCCCAGCATCCAGAGACATGTCACAATGAAGGGATGTGGGAATAGGCGGTGGACCATGTTAAAAAGTACAAATAAAATGGAGACTTGAGCCAAGGACACTTCTGTGTTTAGAAAGAGATGTTTGTTTTTCATTGCTTAAACTTTTCTGGTGGAGGGTCCATCAAATCTTTCCTCCATGGAGATATTATTGCTTTGTCTGGAATGTTTCACAGTATGGTATTAAACCTTTCTATCATTATGGAGACAAAACCAGACCAAGTTACAGGTCAGATCTGTGGAGAGGTGACCTCGCTCACAGTTAGAATGTCTGTTTTTCTAGGTATTTTTGAGCTTTAAAACCACCTGGAATCAAGGCTGGATTATCCATATGGGCCAGTGGCACAGTGCCCAGGGCCACCAGCCATTCACAACCTGTGGGAGGGGCACCACAGGACACAAACTTAAGAAAATTATTGAAAAATATTTTTCATAAATGTGTATGTTATTCACTTGAAAAGGTTAAATGTCCATACATAACTCATCAGTAACACTAATTTCATAATAACAACAACAATAAGAAGAAGAATATTGAACAAATCAAGATTACATGACCATGCATTCCCCATTCCCCCAATCTGTCAGTTGAGTCAGTCCACAAGTATACAAATGTACAAATGATAGAAATGATAAAAATGTATCATTCTTTTTAAAAAACCGTAGCAGAAATGAAAAACGGATAGGCATCAACTGAGTGCTTGTGCACAGATGTCTACATGTACTGTATAGTTGGATGCTGTTAAGTTATTGAGAATTTTGAATTGAGACATTTGAAAATATGATACACATTTTGAACTGAGACATTTGAATAGGCCTGCATGTATACAGGTGGATGCTCTAAGTTATTTGTGGCTCTGCCTGTAATTGAATAACTATAAGGTGGATCTGTAATATCATACTGTGGAAAAACTCCAGGCAGAGCAGTGACATCTCCATAGAAACAATGTCAGAAATTGAAGTCATCTGCATCTACAGATAATTGGGTAGTCTTTATTTTAATTAAACTGAATTTGAACAGGTTGTTTATTTTTTTTAGTTTTTTGTTTTCTGATTTGAAAAAAAAAGTGGCAGTTAGCCTTGAGACACAGTGAGCCTTTCTAGCGTGCTGCTGCGTATAAAGTCTATTGAAATTATTTGACTGCTAAAATAATATTTGCAGCCCTTTTCCAGACTGAGCCCCTGCATCAGTCTTTCTACAGTAAAAGAGCCACCCTGGTTCATCAAGACAATTGGGCTGTAGTTCTTTTAATCTGTTCGATGGAGCCTTAGTCGACCAAAGTTTGTATTAGGCTACAGTGTTAGTATTTTCCTTTCATTTCATTTACACTTTACATTTCTTTAAGTTACATTATTTACATTACACATAGTTTCATTTAATTCCTTTTGTTCAGAGTTATATTTTCTAATTTGGGTGCACACATTTTAGTTAATATACTGTATGTCTGAATTATTTATTTCCTTACAATTGTTCTTTTTGTGAGTTGCCAGATAAGGAACTAGGACTGGGGATCATTAAGAAGTTGCGGATATAATACATATCTCGATACAGTGCACTTTGGATTTGATACAATATATTTCACATCGACTTGATATGGTTCAATAAAAAACTTAAGGCAAAATCATGGCTGTGATACTAACAGTTTTAAACCACTCCTTGTTCATATGAAACACAAACATTTTAATCCTCAAAACGGTGAAAATGTCAAATGTGTCACATAAACAAACTAAACTGTAACTATATCAATACAGCAGCCCCCGATACGGATACAGTATCATCACATTAAACGATACGATATATTGATATTTTGGTATTTTTGCACTCAATTAGGAGGAGCCAAGCCTTGGCATAGAACACCTTCACCAAGTCAAGAGGAGGAGCACTATTTAGTTTAGTTTTGCTAATTTAGTTTGCTTAAAGTTACTGTAATTATCACTGTTGTTTTCTGTAGACTTCTAATTATTTATTTGTCTCATCGTTACTTTGACAGAGTTAGGAGTTTTAGTTCTCTTTTAGTGTAATAGCTCCCTCTTGTGTTCACTTTTGGTTAATCCTCGAGTATTTAAACACCTGTTCCTTTGTCTGGTGGGTTAGTTTTATTCTGTTGAGTTCTTGTTAACCCCAGTTGGGCCTGACTTTTTTGTTAAATTTGTCTAATTTTGAGCTTTGGCTAAATTATATCTTACCTTATAAGTTCCAGTACATACTTATTTCCAATACTCAATACCCCCCCTCGCACACACACACAAACACACACACACACAATGTCCACACTGTCACAAACCCATCACCTTTGTCCCTATTTGTATGTAATCTTCGATCGTAATGTTTGTCTTGTATCTTGTATGTTGTTTGGTTCCTATTTTTTGTAATGTATGTAGATGCAAATAAAATGATAAAAGAGTAAATAATACCTTTTGACCTTATTAAATTTGAACTTCTTATTACATCTTTTTCCGCACCTTTTCGTTTTTGCTTATTTAGATTATAAGTATTTCTATGGGACGACAGCAGAAAGGAGTGAGTTAGCAGATTAAAAAAAAATATTATTTATGTAAAAATGCAGATTAAACTCACAATTCACAAATTTAATCTGCCTTTATACAAGTACACTGTTTAATATTTTAATAGTAATTGTAATAGTAGTTTTTGCGTGAACTCCCCCTAAAAGTGTCATCTTGTGAGTGCAGTTTAGGTCAGATACAGAGAGTTTTAAGAAGTTTTTAATTGACTAATTGATCAGAAGTTTTTATTCAACCCTTTTTTTTTGTCAACTACAGCCTTACTAGCAAAATTATTAAATATGAGACAGCCTCAGATGTAAACTATGACTACATCAGAATTAATCCAGGTCTAAAACATGACTAAACCAGAACTATATAAGGCAAGCACAAGCAACAAGGACAAAGTCTGTTTTTTTTTAAATATCAAACCTCTTTAATAATGACCTTTAAGGCACACAGACAGTTTAAGGCCTCTGTGGTATTTTTCTTGCATTTTTATCATCTCTATGCAAAGACAGTGCAGGTTTTACTGACAAAAAATCTTTATCTAAATGTTATCAAAGCTCTGCTCAGTTTTAAAGTGCTGATATTCTGCCCTCTGCTGGCCAAAGTCACTCTGCAAAAAAAAAAACAACACAAATATGGGGGGCAAAGTAACTACTTAGAGTTTTTGGATAATTGTACTTTTTTGACTAAATATCTAAACCTGAGTATAATTCTAGCCATGTAACTGTAATTAGCCGCATTAAAAATGAGTACAGCACAAGTCTGACTCCCAATCCACCACTGTCTCCTCCTCTTCTTCTCTCAACCCACACACATAACAGCACCGCATCGCCTGGCTCCTGCTCGGATTGTCCACAGCTCTGAGAATATGCACTACAATTTAATTCAGCTTTTAACTGTTTAAAATAAGACTGACCTGTCCAGGCAGAACCACACGCTTTGACAAAAACTTTACAAAGACGAGGTGGAAACGTATCCTGTCTTCCTGAGTAACAAGAGGGCCTGAGTAACAAGATGATTAACCAGTGAGCGACACATGCTCTGTTCGGGTGAAAACAAACATGGCGGTGAGCTTCCATTTAAAACAAAGCAGAAAAATCTACACCAAGGACTGAGAAACTGCCTTTTTTCTGCAAAATCAACAGTCAAAGCACCAAACACTTATTTATCTGAGGTAAAATAATAACATACATATTTTGTTCTGGATAATATGAGAATTTTCAAGAGATGTCTTCCGCATTTGAGTAACATGTGATACAAATGTGCTGTGGTTGGACCGTTCCAAGTGGATTCGGTCAGAATGTAGAAGGGACTGGCCAGTAAAATCCAAAATGCTATCAAAGTTGTGTAAAAATAACTAGTAACTCACTAGTAGTCATACGTTTCAGTACTCTGAGTTGTAGCTATCAAACTGTACTTTTACTTTACTAGTACAAATTTTCAGTAGCCTACGCTTTTCACCATTTACCATGTCTTATGTTTGACTACAGTTAAAAAAAGACCCTTTTACACTCCTTTCATTCCATATTTTCTAATCATGTGACCTGATGACATCATTCCTCCGGCGCTCCGAGCAGGAAGTGAGGTCGCAGCAGTGATATGATGGGATTCTGCGGCGAGCCTCCCAAACAGTACGCCTCGTCCACGTTCACGCCGAGGGTCCGGAGCGATCGGAGGGACCTGCTGCAGCTGTTTATGTCTCTTTGAGAGGAGAGCAGGACCAGCGACAGAGGACTGTCCACTACTCCAAACTTCTGACGGATTTTACCGAGATGAGACCAAAACATCTGCACAGAAAAATAAAGACATTATGGTTTAAGAGAGGCACAAAGCAGATGAACAAGAATAAATCAATTCATACCCAGATACTATAAAACTAGCCCCAAAACTAGGTACTCATTAGAGATCGACCATAATGGATTTTTTAAAGGCCAATGCCTAATCCAGAGTAATCCATGGCCCATATATACGGCAGATTTTTGGTCATTTTCCCCAAATGATGTAATTTAATGTATGACAAACAAATTTACAACAAACTTACCTACAGTCTACACTTACCACAAACCTTCACGAGAGCAGTGTTGTCATGTTATGCATTTTAAGCATTTCAGCATTTAAATAAAGCTTTTTGTGTACTCAGGTTGGCCAAAACAAAATATAGGCCTGTGCTGGAGCTTTGAGACCAATAGTCGATTAAAAAGTTAAATCATTCGAGAAGATATCAACAGAGAAAAATTATATTTAAAAAAAGGACAATGCTTATTAGCTTCAGAATTATCTTGATCAAAATCAGAACAAGAATAAGTCAATTATGGTAAATTTTTTTTGTAAAAATTACATTATACTGGATAAAAATTATATGAAAATTGCTCTTGCATACCGATCCTTTTACTTGGAACAGGAATCAAAAGTAGTTCTTGAGGCATGTTTTGAAAGGTGATGTTGGTTTGTGCACAGAGCAGTTGACAAGTAGTTCTCAGAGTAGGTTTGTTGTGGCAAAAATCATATATCTCTTGAAGATAAATAATGAATCCATCTGCGAAGCCTGATGAGTTTTTGGAGTACAGACCAAGGTTTATTCTTGTTACAGCAGATATGGACAGAGCCTAGGACTGACCTGGCCATAGCCCAACAGCCTCTCTCCACCAGCAGTATGTCTGAACCACATCTTGCCCCATCTTCCAAGTATGGCCCCAGTATCTGCCCCAGTATCTGCCCCAGTATCTGCCCCAGTATCTGCCCCAGTATCTGCCCCAGTATCTGCCCCAGTATCTGCCCCAGTATCTGCCCCAGTACCTCCCCCAGAGCATTTGAGCTCTGAGTATTTATACAGAAATACAAGTTACATACATATCAAAGCAGACTGACTTTGGTTTCAGAGGCTGGTACTAAATGAACACACAGTTGAGGACAACAAAAGGCTTCCTGAAGGAGGAGACAGTTGTGCCTGATGAACCTTTACACATGTTAATGATTTGTCTGGGTTTCAAGTAGAAATCACATTCATTTACACAAGACAGATTGAAAGAAATCTTTCCATAATCTAAATTTCTATCACAGGGGGGTGGCAAAGCACTGAGCTTTGAGTTGCAAAATGACATGGAAGATAAGATTTAAAAATTATGCCACTCTACTTATAAAAATGTAATAAAAACGGTACTGGTGAAATTATGACAAATACCACAATAAACTACAATATTTCTGTTCAACTTTGAAATTATACAGCATCAGTTCTATTCTGCAGTGGGGTCCCAGGTCAGTTGTGGATGGTTATTTTGGTGATTCCGGCCTGAAAAGTTTGCTAACCCTATAAAAGCTATCTATATATTCCTTTATTTTGCTTACAAAGTTTATAGAGGTGAGCTCAGACTTGCACAGATACACCGTCATTTCAAGGACTAAACCCGGACTAGAAAAAGACCAAATCAGGTCTATGTCCGACAGTAAGTAAGTAAGTAAGAAAGTCTTTATTTGTATAGCGCTTTTCATAGATATTTTCTGTCCCCAAAGATGCTTTAGAGAGCATTATTCAGCATTATTCATTCAGCATTCATTCACTCGTTATTCGTTATACGTTCACTCTATACCCTGGTGATGGTAAGCTACTATTGTAGCCACAGCTGCCCTGGGGCACACTGACAGAAATGCGGCTGCCAAGCCAATCGGCTCCATCGGTCCCTCCGACCACCACCATCACTCACACACACACCACTATCATACCAGGCAATGTGGGTGAAGTGTCTTGCCTAAGGACACAAAATGATTGAATTGATTGTATGTTTTGGGGAAACCGGAGCGCCAGGAGGAAACCCATCCAGACACGGGAAGAAACATGCAAACTCCACACAGAAAGGCCCGGGCGACCCGGGGATCGAACCAAGAACCTTCTTGCTGTGAGGCATGAGTGCTAGCCACTCAGCCACAGTGCCCCAAACCAATGTGAATGCAATGAACCCAATCTGCCGACCTATACCCAGCGGGCCTGCCTGTGTACCTGTGAGGCCTGATGACGTCCTGTGTTCAGTTCAGAGCTGGGATCCAAGATGGCGTCTCCACAGAACATGACTCTGAGCTGCTCTGAGGGTCCACAGGCTGAGAGAGGCCCCAGGATAGCGGACAGGACTCCTGCAAACAAAACTAAATATCAGCATCTAAACGTCGTATATTATATTAAACTGACTCCAATGAGCTTTTAGACATATTAAAATGTTGTTACCTCAACAAAAACACACCTGGAGTTGTTTTGTCTCATTGAGTAACCCTTTATTATTAGTCTGTCTACATCTCCAAAGCACAAGATGCTCTGTTCCACCTTGTGATGTCATGAAGAGGCAGTTTTCAAGTTAATGTCTACCTTTACCTTTAGTTCAGTAGATATTGGCAAATGATTCTAGTGAACGAGTATGGAGATTAAAAACACAGTGGACATTACCACATAACAGTATTACCACATGACATCATAAGGTGGAACAGTGTTTTCTGTTTTTAGAGAATGACTCTGAAATATACAATATATGTGTCAAACATATGTGAATGAAACAAAACACAATTACAGATATATTTTTGACATTATTTAACATTATAACATACCTCAGGAAATAGTGTAATATAAACCCTTTAAAATATTTCCACATTTTACACAAATTTGTACTTTGAGACTATGATTTTTTGCAGTGGTCAAATGCAGAGTAAACTACATAGATCATGGTCGTTGGTTTATAATAATAATGAACGCACTAATTACTTTTTGAAGAGAGTAATCAGATTTGTACAAACCAACACAAGTCTCCACTTATACAAAGAATGGTTTAGACCAGGACAATATTGTACAGTGAGATACATACAGTGTATTGTTAAATTCATGTCTGACCTTTGTTTGCTGCTTGTGTGGCCTCATTTGAGTCTGTCGTCAGAAAAAGCTGGACTTTATTTTCCAGTAAACTGTCAGTGATGTCGTCCTCACCAGAAAAACTGAAACGGTGGATTTGCAGACCTAAATAAGAAGAGAGGAAAGACAGTCTCAGTCTGCCCCAGGGCAGCTGTGGCTAATGTAGTAGCTTAACATCAAAAGTATGTAGAGAATGAATAATGACTAGTGTAGTGTAGCACTTTGAAAGGCTTCAATGCACATTACAAGTGTAAGGCATTATAAAATGTTAAATAGTAATAATAATCATTATCATTTTAATTGACTAAAAAGCCTTTGCAATTTGTGCTATGTAACAGAGATCACTCCTGTGGAGTGTTTGTTACACACTCATTTGTGTGCAGCTGAGCTCCCTGTGACAGTGAGGTGTTGCAGATACCGTGGGCTCTGGTCTTGGTCTGGACCTGGTCTCTCTGGACTCTGTTTGTGCAGATCAGAACCACCTCAAACTCAAAAGACTCAGAGCCAGATGAGTCCAACTGCAACAGGCGCTCGTTCACTCTCTGCACCGCCTACAGGGCAAAAGAGAAACTATATAGTTAAGCTATAAAACATTAATATGGGTCTACGAGTCTTTATGACTGTCTTTAAAAGTCTAATACTTACCATTATGGGCTTCATTGAAAAAATAAATATGTCTAACACTAAAGATGGTCATGAAATATTGTGAATGTTGTTTTGAAGAGAAAAAAATGTACAAGAACAGTTAAGGTAAATGAAAATGTATGTATTTCCAAATATGGGTATGATTTGATATTTCTGTGTTTTTGTAAGTAATTCCAAACCTCAGCTCATTCTGTTTGAGTGAAATAATATTGTCTGAATATGTCTGTATAAAGATATAAGATATAAGTTGCCATCTGAATGAAAAAAATCTGAACTAATCAAGTTTTACTAACAAATCAAATCAAATCTATTTAGTCTCCTGCCTCTGACCCAGGGTTGACCTTTGACCTCTAACCTGTAGAAGAGGGAAGGCGACTCCGGCTCCTTGAACCTCTTCTTCTTCTGCTCCAAACACGGCGCTGTGAGAGACCGCGATCACCAGAGCATTTTCTGCACTGACCTGAAGAAAACAAGAAATCTGATTATAGACCATTACATCTTCATAATTCTATGCTGTCCATTCATACTGAGAAGGTTAGTGCTTTTTTATTTCACATAACCAGCTATCATATACTGATTAAAAAAAAACCAACAACAATAAAAACATTGCAAATACTCCTCCCAAGACGTATGTATTTAATTCTTTGGGCAACTCATTCAAAAATATATTATTAATAGCTAATTATAAAAACAAGGTTGACACCAAGAAAAACTTCAAATTGCCTAATCTCTTAAAACAACATTCTCTACAGAGCATATTAAATTCACACATATTAAAATACTAATAATAAAAAAAATACTGCCTATATATTAAATAAAGCAGTTACTAACCCACCTTGTAAATAAATAAATAATATAAATATAAATGCCATATAAATGCTCTTTAATAGGCAAATTCTGAATCATTTAATATTTTCTTTATTGTAATTTTTGGAATGTATGTATTTTGGAATTGTTATACTGATTTAAAATACAGTGTTTTTATTTAAAAAAAATTTTATTCCAATATGTGGTGGTAGTGGGACACAAATATATGAAATTACATTTAATAAAATAATAGTATAAGTCACTGCACACAGTAGTAGCAGTAGCAATAGAAGTAGTAGTATTAGTAGCAGCAGTAATTGCAGTGACTCGAGCTTTGGTATTTGTCAGCCAAATATAGGTTTCCATGTCAAAGTGACTTCCTTTTCTTGGACTGGTGGCCTCAGTGGAAATGTAAAAATAGAAAGCCTTCATGTGTGCCTTTGGGAAAGACTGTGGGGCAAACTTTGTTTACACACTAAGTTCCTGCAAAACTAGGCCACGTACACATTTCCAAATTGGTTTAATGTATATACTTGTATGTATTCTTTATTTCAGACAGATTATTTGGTCCACAATTATACAATAAAAACAAGATAAAAAAATAAAAATAAATAAAATAATACATGACACATAATTTGTTGGTTAAGTTCATGCATCTGTCAAGTGACTCAAAAGGGAGGCTGTCATTTTGGACCTGTATATCATATACTGTGCTCCAAAAGCAAAAAAAAAAAAAAAAAAAAAAAAGATCTGACGAAGGCTTTTTGCCAAAACATTATTTAAAAATAATAATAAAAAAATAAAAAAAAAATAAAAAAAGCTTTTGGACATCAGCCATCTGAGTGTGCTATGCATTTTTTAATTTTTATTTTACTGTTCCTTGCATTTGCACCTCCTCAAGAACTTTAGTGTGCGTTTTCTGTTTCATTTGTTCAGTTTTAAGGTTGACAATTACAGTAATTCCACCTTCTGTTTACACTGCACTGCTATTGTGTTATTGGGCAAAACACATCACACACTTTACCAGTTGGTGATGTTAAAGTTTGCTGCTGGTTTGATTTGCTGGTGCACATTTCCCTCTGTGGTATTAAAATATTAGTTAAATGCAATGATCAGATACAAAATAATCCAAGTTTTTACGATTCCAATTGATGATTTAAAATGATACGCTCCACCGAGAGTTACCTGTTATTTATGTCATTTACCTGTTTGACGTCTGCATTCTCAAGTGTTTCGACCATTTCCACTTCTGCATTCACTTTTTGCAGCTTTAAACCGGTTAATAATTCTCTAACGGGTTATCTTGACCCCTTTCGCCACACCTAAACGCGAAACAAAAACAAACTTTTCTAAATCAAGCCAAAAGCGTGAAGCATAAAACTGATTTCCTGCTCGCTTCCCTTAAGAACGTCAAGAGCGTGCTGGCGTCACTTCCTTGTTTACCACGCCCACGGCTAAACCTTTTTCACGATACGAGCAACTAATTCGCTCTGTTTAAGCTTAAAATACTGGAATTAAACCCTCAAATAAAGCGACAGGAGGCACAAGTTAGTCTGGTGAAGTTTTAGCAAGACGTCGGTGCAGTTTGACCCGTTTTGGTGATGATTTTGCCCTAAAACGTGGAGGAAAAGTTGGATCTTGTGCCTTCGGATCACGTTGAACGAGCTCCTTCAGGTGTTCAGCTTTGTCCTTCACTTGTAGATTTATTTTTGTATTCAGCTAAATATAAATAGTTAATAATAGACATTGAAACGTTTTCGGATTATGGTGTATTCGTGTCAAATATTTTTCAGCAGTGACCTAGTTTTAAGCAATTATTAAGCTGTTAAACACTGAACTTATTTTGTAACACTGGGGAAAATAGACTACTGTGACTTTTTTCTTTTGGACTTTATAGTGTCAATTTATAACTTATTATTTTTTATATAAAAATTTTCATGGCACAAATAGGCTATCCGAAGACTTGGTTACCCTAATTTAAAATGAAAATGGTAGACGATTGTGAAGTAGTACACGATGAACTGTGTAACTTAAAATAATCCATTGCAACGAGTTTAAGCAAACAAAAGTATATTTCATAATGGTGGTGAACAAGTAACTTCTAGTAATGGTATTGGTAGTAGTCGTAGTAGTAGTCATAGTGAAAACTTACTAACAAAACTTACTATTGTCCCTTTTAATTATTTAAGTTGCACTAAGATTAAAACCAGTTAGTTCAGTGACTGTTCAGACAAAACACACCTATCTGTGACAAAAGATCTAGATCTCAAAACATGTCAGTCGGCAAAAAAACAACAACAGATGTGTTAAGAATGCACTGGAGAATGGATTTGTTTGTTTAAAGGGTGGAATCCAGGTGGAACTTTAACAGGCATACACTGTAGTGTTGTTTTACTGTCTATTTGATACACTGTCTACTATCTATTTGATACACTTAGACTTAGCCTCTCAGTTTGGAGGTTATAGGCTAAAGGTGGGACAAACATATGTAAAATGTATGATTGTGCAATTGTTGTTTTGGAGTTATGAAATGATAAATACTGAGTAAGTTGTCTACAAATAAAACTAACAATGGGACAAGATCTCGTGCCACAAGACCTCATGAGACAAAATTGGCACAAGATTATGCACAGAGAAATTATCTTGTGATTTATTTTTTTTCCTCATGTTTTTACATTTGGATTGGATAAAAATGGCTTTAACCACTGGCAAGTTACATATTTTGACAATCTGTTGTTTTAAAAAGCAAAAAATGGTGAGACTAAAATTGGGAATTAATTGCACAGCTTATTTACTATAAATAACGTCTCATAGATCCAATCTTGTTTCTTGTCTCGACTTGTGAAAGTAGTATCTTGTCCCACCCCTAAATTAAACTATTAAAAATTACATCACAAAGAGACAGAAATATCTGGTGTTATCTCCCAAACAAGATATACAAACTTGACACTTTCCTGATAAAATTTAAAAATTTTGTCTGAATATTCTTACTGATAAAATAAGAAAAAGTGGTCATCTTATCTCCTGCCTCTCAGTAAGGAGGTGGTGGGTTAGAATCTAAACTGTAAAAAGACTATTTTACATACTTGCATCTTGTTTTATTTTTCTTCTTAGCAGCAGTGCACCATGTGGCCTTCGTTGTTGAGGTAGAGTCGCCGTGGTAACAGCTACAGAATGTTGAGGCGTCTGGACAGGATTCGATTCCGGGGGACGAGGAGAGAGGAGTTTGTGGATTTGACTGATTCTCCGAACACTTCTGACAATGAGGGTACAGAGGATGTCCCCATAAAAGCACAATGCGCCACCAGAGAGACAGAGGAGGTACGGGATGGAGACGCAGAGGTGGACCTGCTCACTGAAGCTCAGGTATATAGACTGTACCACATATTAACTGTCCCTCCTCTGTACTAAATATTCACTGTCCCTCCTCTATATTTTTAGGCTGGTCCTGGGTTCGCCGCAGCTCTTCATGATGACAGAACAGACCTGACAGAGGTGAAAGGGCTTCTGGAGATCGCTCTATTAGAAAAGCACTTCCTCCGTGAGTGAAACAAAAAAAAAAACATAAACTTTTAAGGTTTCAGACATTTTTACACCTGTCCATTTTATTGATGCATGATTGTACATAAGGTCTAGATAGTGGTGAAAAAAAGGTTCTAAAGCAAGAAAAACATTTTATATTTGAATTGGTAATGTTCATGATTTGCTTCCCTTCTTTCAAAATAATTGCAGGAGCCAAGATTCCTATAGTGATTAAATGGTGTTGCAGAATAAAAGATTTATACTTTAGAAACTACCATCTATAATTTGACTTTCAGACCCGGCCCTGTTGCATTCTCACACTTCACCACTGAATGTTGTCTATGTTACTGCTCCAGTTTTCAATTTGAACAACTTTAGGATAGATAATATTAATTCTAACAAAGATATTATTTTAATCTTATCTAACATTATCTCTGGTTGTGTCATTTTCAGAGGAGGAGCTGAGGAAACTCAAAGAGGAGACGAACATTGACGTTTTGAAACAGGATTTGGAGCGAGAACGACTCAAACGCATCGAAATGGAACAAAAAGTCAATGAGGCACTCAAGAACAAGTACGGTTAAAACTGAACCAGATTAATCATTTTTATGTTTAGTGATATGGTTTAGTTGGGGCATATTGGATTTGCCTTTTGTTGGATTGCAATGTTTTTTGCCTCAATTTGGAGGAACTGAAGTGTTTTTCACTCCAGTTGCCTCTGCTGGCAACATTGTCATTATGTTTGGATAAAAAAAAATCTTTCTAATCTGGTCAGAAATCTTAATGTGTAATATGAATAAACAGTCTATTTTTTTTTCCTCATAATTCTTCTTTTGCAGATAGCTAATTATATTTTGTCTGTTTTCAGAGGGCCAGAGGACTCTCCATCTCATTCTCAGAGAGTTCCTCCTCCTATCACACCTGTGCCTGAGGTCCCAGGTAAAAAACTTAAAATTAAGGTCTCTCTCTATCTAAACTTTTGATCCACAAGTATTGAATTATTTTATTCATAACGTAAACGCATATTGTTATCATCATTTGTTAGGAATTTGCTCCATAAACTTGTCATATCAATCTCATAACCATAAAACAAGTCAACAAGTCTGCAATCTGACAGTTACAGAGCAAATTCCACCTGAGAATTCTGACCTGTCTCCAGCTCCATGTAAACTAAAGGGATTCTTCAATGCTGTGATATGACATGAACCCAACCTTTCTGAGAAAAAAACAGAACCCTTTTAAAATGTTTTGTCCTTTCAGAAAAACACAGAGAGTCACTCTATGACCGTTTCATGAAATGGGTTTACGACCGATTTGGAGTTTATATTGAGGACTTCAGGTTTCAGCCTGAAGAGGAGACAGTGGAGCCAGAGGAGCCACTCAGCGCCAAGAGGTATACAATTTTGCGTTTAAAGGAATTGTATGAAGCCTGTGCTCTTGTCGTTTTAAAAATGGAACTATAATCATAGCTGACTCTGAGCTGCCAGAGCCTTAACCTGTATATAGAGGGCACATCAAAGTTTATTTCATTCTCAGTATGGACAGGCCATGCCTCCTGTGAACGCTCAAAATCTCCAGAATTCACTCAGAGGCTATATGGAATATCATGTCCAGTGCTTTTATAATGAACAATTCTAATGTTGATTTATTCTTATCAGTAAAAGCTGTATATTGCTGTATATTTGAACTGCCTTGCATCTGAGGACATGGAACGATCACGTTAAAATTTTTCTTCAGTAAAGAAAAAGTGTGCATATTAAAAAAATATATATATACCATTTTTATTTCCCAAATATATTGTATAATAATCTTAGTTTTTCTTCAAACAGGCTCACAGAAAATATGAGACGACTCAGTAAGTACACAGTTTATCATTTCATTCACTGTTATTAGGATGTAGCGTATGTAATATTGCAATTTCTTTTTCAGAGCGAGGATTCAGGCCTGTGTCCAACTTCAAGAGAAATGTCACAGCTCTCTCCAGCTGGTACTCTGTCTATACTTCAGCAATAGCTTTTCTGGTAAATAAACAATTAATATATGAATATAAAATGCATTTAAGCACATTTTCAGAAGACTGTGATCAATACGATCGTTCATAGTCTGATCTTATCTGCTTGTCTCGTTCAGATTTACATGTACGCAGCGTGGTATGGCTGGACCATACCCATGTTCCTGTTCCTGGCAATAGTACGCCTCTCTTTAAATTACCTCATTGCCAGGTGAGTCCAAGCCCCGCCCCCCCTCTCTGTCAGTCACACTTTTCACCTGCTTGAATGGACTAGGCTAAAATATTTGAAGTACCATACTTTCAACCACAAACAACAAACTTCTCTTATTCTGCATACCATAGACTGTATACATAAATGGACAACCCACTAGCCGCCACATTCCAAATGGGAAGTGAGCGTGGGCATGCTTTGAGCTCTGTTAATCTGGCTCCAATTCACTTTGTATTGAAAAAAATGTTGCCTCTCTCTCTGTAACTGCTGCTGTCAGGCTCCTCATTTTGAAATTTAAAATGTTCGTATTAACCCACTCTTCATGATGCTGGGGTTTTATTTAGCTATTTTGTCTGTAAAACAATTCCTGAAACACTCTACTGAACTAAAGGTAAAAGAAGCTGTGTTGAAAACTACTACTTCATGACATCACAAGGTAGAACAGACTATTTGAGCTTTGGAGATGTAGAAGAACTAGTAATAAAGGATTGCTCAAGAAAAAAAAAAAATGAGGTCACAACATTCTAATATGTCTTAAAACTCACAAAATTTAGGATAATATAGGACCTTTAAGTACAAAAAGGACCTTTAGAAGAAAATGGGGTCTTGATTTTTATAATTAATAATGAGCTTGTTTCAGGTTCACTTCATTCATTTGGTTATGTCACAGTATTTTTCCATTGTAAATATTATACTTATTCTTATGTTTGTATTTTTGTTCCAGAGGTTGGAGGATCCAGTGGACAATTGTTCCTGAAATCTCTGAACCAGTGGTGAGAATTAAACTCCAGTTACAGTTTATCATCTAAATTTCAAATTAAAATAATTCATATTGTTTAATTTTTTTCTTAAATTTTCTTTTTGTCAGGAGCCGCCTAAAGAGGATCTTACTGTTTCGGAGAAGTTCCAGTTGGTCCTGGATGTTGCTCAGAGGGCTCAGGTTTGATTTAAATAATTATTCCAGTTTTACAAGTTTGCTTTTGTTAATTGCAATGTTTAACAACCATAAATTAAAGAGGGAGTATTTTACTTCTATGGGGTATTAACTGCTTACCTTTTATTGTTTTGAAAATGCTATAATCACCCAAAACATCATATTAACAGGCCTTGTTTTTGACTCTAGAAACATTACATTACATCAGCTGCCTTTCAAAATTAGTTGACCTAATTATATTTTTATTGTTTGTGTTTTTGAAGAAGCCATTTGTTTTTTTTGTCAGTTTGAAACATTGAACTAACATTTTACAGGTATTTTACAGGGTCAAAAAGTAGTGTCTTATACCTGGCCATAACCATGTTATAGTTGTATTTCTCCTTCTCATTGACCCTCTCAAAGTTGTATTTGGAGTGATTCGTGCATGTTTGAGTCTTCTTTATCTTCCTGTATTAAATAAATCATAGCTCCCATCTACCCCCATTTTCACTGCCACTGATACCTGCTCTGTGCTTACTTTGGTCTCCAATTTAATTTTCTTAATTGGTGATACATGTAGGATTTGGCAGCGTCTCATAGTAATTTTGGCACAAATGAAAAAAAAAATCTCTTGATTAGTGTGATGTGCAGCTCTTCAGCTACACGGCGCATTTTATGATGATGTTTATGGTGAAGCCAGATCCCACTGAGCACCACAGTTTTCTGAAGCAGAAGTCAGCAGACTTGTTTCTTTTATTAAGTGATTTTATATTCATATCCATATTGAGATTTAAAATGTGCAAATTTAAAATGAGATAATGATCAATGGGTGTCATAGCTAAAAATATAGTAATTTAACAATTTGTCTTTTTACAGAATATATTTGGGAAAATGGCTAACATCCTGGAGAAAATTAAGAAGTGAGTTCCATTTCTGTATATATCATATAAAGTTCTCTGTCTCCATGAGGTAAAACGCCTGTGTTTGAATGAAATGAATTTGAGATTAAAATAGTTTAACGCCATACTGTGTAGCATTCCAGACAAAGCAGAAACATCTCCATAGAGACAGGCTGGTGTTGTATTCTGCACAAGAAAACTTGAATAGTGCACCTTTAGTGTACTACAACAAAATACATAACTCACCTTTCATTTACTGAAGTCCACTTATTGAAGTATTGTGTGTTCTATATTACAAACTACAAAAGATGCTTTTTAACATGATCACTTTCCTTGTGTTTAGTCTGTTCATGTGGGTCAGACCTGAGCTAACGCAGAAGTTGTATGTGGGTCTGTGGGTGGCCTTCCTCGCCACCTGTTTCCTCCCATTCCAGCTCCTGGGCTTCATCATTGGTCGGTCTTTTAACATTCTACAAATATACACTTAAAGGACCTATAATACATTATTTTATGATCTATATTCTAATGTTGTTTCCTCTTTTCAAACATACATGGAGTGAGCCTGGGCAATAAGGCAGCAAATACAACTGGATGATTTAATAGATTTGAATCAAATTCTTTCAGGGGAAGCTCTTGACATTTTCATTTTTATCTTATCCTGTTATTTAAGAAAATGTAAGCTTTCTTCAGGTACATTTGTATAAATATGTCATCTAATATCAATACTTTAAATTAAAATGAGATTTTGTACAGTAACAATTATATAATTGCACCAATAATGGCTTTGCAAGTAAGAAAGTCAGGAGTAAACTTGTGCCATAATAATTCTCAATTTCACCATTTTGCTGTTTTTTTTTTAAATCTCAATGATTAAAAACAACAACTGATTGAATCAGAGTAATTTTCCAGCCCTAACCTGGAGTTGTTTTGTTTCATACAAACCTTGCATATATAGGCTGGGAACAGAAAACACTCACCTTGTGATGTCATGTGGTAATAGAGGAAGTGCTCCACTGTGTTTTTAAACTTCTTACATGTTCACTAGAATCATTTGGATAATTCAGCCTTGGAATTGTTTATCTCTTCTTAACTAAAGGTAACAGGTAGCTTTTTACCTTCAAACAAAAACTACATGACCTCACAAAGACTTATAATAAAGGATTACTCCAACTCATGTGTGACTGAAACCAAACACAACTCCATGTATATTTTTGTTGAGGTAACAACATTATAACTCTAAATCTTAAAGCTCCCGAGAGTCAATTTTACATAATCTGGGATGTTTAAGGATCATCACTGGTGTATTGTATTACATTGTGTGTATGCATTTCTCAGATACGTTTGTAGTGTAGGGCCGAGCCATTTTTCTGACAAGCCATTTGATTTGCTATTTACATGTTCAACATGTTTGTTCAAAGTTCACAGTTATCATTTTAAAGCCCGCCTCTCTTCTTCCCTCTCCTCCTCTTCCTCTCCTGTCCTCCTCTTCCTCTCCTCCTGTCCTCCTCCCCTCATCCTTAGGTATGTACGCGGGGATAAAGTTCTTTGTGATTGACTTCTTCTTGAAGCGCAGCCTCAAACTCAGACTCAGGTTTGACACTCCATACATGATCTGGACCAACCTGCCCACAGACCTGCAGCTGAAAGAGCGGAGCAGCAGCACCATCAGCAGGCGGGTCAGTCCTCTACACTCAGTCCTGTCCTATAGACTGCCTTATTCTGAAATATCATCTACACTACATACCTGACTCTTATTTGGCCTGGAGGAGGACCTCCTCCTGCCTGTTTCCATGGAAACTCTGTTCTTTTTGTTATAATATTCCACAGTATGGCATTAAACTTATCTCTCTCCAAAGAGAGTGTTCCAAAGTGTGGCTTTACATTTCTGTTTCCATGGAGCCATGCAGGCGACGTGCCACCTCCAGAAAGCTTTGTTTTTTGAAAATGTTTTAAAATGTAGATTGTTTATTTGTTCATTTACTTTGTTGTTTATTCAGTTCTTTCTTCATTCATTACTGATACATTTTCTTATTTTAACCACGTTTTTCTTGAATGCTGCTGTCTCTCTTTCTCAGCTCTCTGAGTGTGAACAGGTACGACTCTATCTTCAGTGTCCCAAACTGTAGAGATGTTTGTGTTCCACCTCCTCCATTCAGACAGTTCTACCCCTTAGACAAATATCCTGGCCTTCTAGCATTATAGATAGTTATAGATTTTTTAATCAAGGATATTCTGTAATCCCATCCCCCATCCAGAAAAGAGTTACACAGTATCTACCATAGGTAAAAATAATATAAAAATAGACTGGGTTAAATCTATTTGCCAACAGGACCAATTAAAGCAGAGACTTTTGAAAGCTTTTAACCATGTTGTAGTAGTTTCCCCTCAGCATTTACTCACCTGTTGTATTTGGAGTGATTTGTGAATGTTGGAGTAATCTTTAAACGCTTATTTTCAAGATGCCATATTGCCGATCAACTCCTGTTTTTAAATGCCTCCGGTAAACTCCCCCTGTTGTGTACTTACATTCTACCTTAAAATATTCTTAATCTGTTATATGCGTAGGATTTGGCAGAGGCGTGAGGCCTGGTTCAAATTAATGCTCGCTAATGTGATGTGCAGGTCTCCGGTGCCAACAGCTCTGCAGCTCTTTGTTGATATGACGTTTACAGCGATGTCGGGTCCCATTGGGCACCGTAGTTTTTTTTTTTTTTAGATATTGACAATGTGCAAATTATAACAGCAAGATCCACGCATGTGTAGATTATAACTATAGAGCAGACACAAGTACAATATGTCTTGTTTAAATGAAAAAAATCTAACTGGTTTGATAGTTTAGTTTGAATCAAAATTTAATTTCTTGGGTAATTTTCTTTGATTTGTTTCTATGTATTTGTAACTGATCCTGCTTCAATGTTTTATTTCAGTTTTAAGCCAATCTGTAAGCTTTTACTTTTTTAATTAACAGATATTGTGTTCTCTAAACTGAATTTTAAAAATAGGATACATTGCATTTTTACGTTGTTATAGTTTATGTAGTTACATTTTTGTATAATATATAATCCATATATAAAAACAATGAAACTAGGCTAAAACTGTACAGCAACTCAAGTCCTGAAAAACATGATTAATTTATCCTGAAATAATGAGTACATCATGAGTAACATCAGGAAACAAGTTGAATAATTTAATATTTTTTCAAAGAAATAAACCAAACTAGTCAAAATTACAGACATTAAAATTCTCAGTGTAGGTTATTTTGAGTTCTTAGATATTTTTTACAGTGCAGTAGCAGGAATCACACCGACAACCCTTCGGTCGGTGGGCAGACAGACTGAGCTGCTGTGGCTGATGTAGGTCTTGTTTTTGCCCAGGTCGCACACACCTCTGGTCGGGGCAATAACGGCGCAGCTGCCCCTGTGGGTCTGAACAGAGACGAGGAGACCGGAAGAACCTACAGCACCAAGAGAGGCCCTTTCCACGAAGTATTCCACCTGCCTGAGTCAGAGCGCCCCCTGGCAGGTGAGGAGAGGAACTGCACTCCAGTGAGACTGTGCCAAGAGTCCTGGGTTAGTCCTAGGTTATCGCGGGCACGGGCAGTAACAGGTGGAATGTTAAAGGTTCTGGGGGTCTCTCAAAAAGGACCCGTGCAGAACTCTGGGTTGGGTCACATTGGTCACACGCGGTGATCTCGGTGGTCCAACATCTACCGCGGTGGACCTCTTATTACCGCTGTGATTCATTTTTGCAGTTATCACGACAGCCCTAATTCCAACCATACCTGACGCAGTACTCAGAGCGCACTGCGTACATGCGATTAGAAGATTCCAGATGATTCCAAACAGCACATACGTATGCAGTCTTCATTTTACTGCTGATTACATTTACTTCAGTGGGTTTGATCGCAGTTGGTCAGCGAGACCAGTGTCGGGAACTACACCAGAAGTTGTCATCACATGTTTCCAAACGTCTTCCTGGTTTGTGACGTAAGTGTGAATAGAGCCTACTGAGCTGAGTTTTTTAATCTTCTCTAAAACGTTAAAGGGGGAATTGGACATAGGGTCTCATTTCCTAGTGAGTCAGAGTGTTGGAGACGTGTGGAGACACTTTTTGAAATATTCCATCTAGTCCTTGTATTTGCAGAGGTCACTGGGGTTAGACTAGTGCATGTCAATGGTCATAGTTCTCCTGCCACTAAAAACAGTCTTACCCACTCCACAAAACACCTGAAGAAAATCTATTATTACACCAGATTATCCATGTGAATTGTGTGTTTTTAGTGGCAGGATAACTATGACCATTGACATGCACCAGCGACCTCTGTTAATACAAGGACTGGATGGAATATTTTAGAAAGTGTCTCCACACATCTCTAACACACAATAGGAAATGAGGCCCTATGTCCAAAATTCCAGACTGTCTGTTTTTTTATTGAATTTCTTTTTTAATATTCATCTTGTAGATCAAAATCAAATTTCAAGTACAGCCATTTAATGTAACAGAAAGACAATAAAATAATAAACATTTGATTAGTAACCTTGCCTAGTTTTCCCTACTTCCCTACTATTTCCTGGCTGGACATGGTCAGCAGATATGACCAACATAGAACAAGGCAAAAAAAAAAGGCAATAAGAGCAATCACATTATCAGTTATATAACGAATCAATCAATGCCTTATTTGTAAACCTTCAACTCTGAAATTTTATGATTTAGTCGACCTTTATACTCTGAAAATCATGTTCAAAGTAAACAATAATCTCCTGTCAAAATCTTTACAGAACATGTTCCGAAAGAGCCAATATGAGCTCAGAGGCTCGACCATGTTTATTAAAAAGAAAATCAGAACAAACATTATGAAATTTTGTAAATCTGTTAAAAGGGGTGGAGCTCTGGAACAACTGGACAGAAAACCTAAAATTGTGCACCAGTCACTTTATAAAGAAGTTTAAATGTTTAACTCTGGACAGATACATGAATTATGGTACTTAGTTTGTGCTGTAGTACTTTGTTGTACTGTTTCTGATTTGTTTGTTTCCTCCTGCTGTATTTTTGAAGATGAACTGGTGTTAAGATGACGCTCTGATAAAGGAATAAAGGGTCGGCATAATAAACTTAAGCTTCAGCCTGCACCTTTTCGGTCTGTGTGTGTTAAATATGACTGTCTGTGAATTAATGTCAAAATATACCTATGACCAAAATTAATAAATAAATAAATACAATGACATGTAGGTAATTCCATAACTCTTACCTAGCAACCATACTGTAAACTAGGGCCAAAGCTCATCTAATTTACACAAGAGTTTATTAATAAAACATGTGACTACACCTTAATTTGGACAAATGTAAATGCCAGAAAATGTTCCTTGTGCGTTAATTGGTCCTGAATTTTGTGAGAAATTTTCAGTATTGGTGACCTGGGTATAGGCTCTGTTCACGTTTATGTTACAAATCAGGAAGATGTTTGGAAAAATGCGATTACAACTTCCGGTGTACCAATGGACTGTGATAAAACCCATTGAAGTAAATGTGATGAGCAGTAAAATGAAGACTGCATATGTACGTGCTGTTTAAAATCATCTGGAATTTGGTGCCTCATCTTTTCTAATCGCATGTACACTGTGCTCGGAGTTGTCTGTCAGTGTGGAAATGATGAAAACTGAGGTATGGTTGGAATTGTTGATTAGTCAAACATAACGGAACGCTACAATGACACGAAGATGCAAAAAACTGGGATATTTTCTCATTTTTCCTAGATTTTGTCAGATTTACTACCGTGAACAGAGCCCGCCGGAAGTTGTCATCACATGTTTCCAAATGAGTTATTCCATTTTAAAAGTGCTACTTCTTGTGTTTTTCAAGTTTTATTTTTCCATTTTTCTTCAAACTTGACTGAAGGAAAACTGTGCTTAAGATTTACCACAGGCACTATCCCAAAATCATATAATAATTAAAAAACATGAAAATTGAATCTAGTAATCTAATGAAATGGTAATCTAATCTGTGGTTTGGAAATCACCCACTCTGATGGATTGTCCCCAGACCTTTAATTGTTCATTTCTTTCTCATTTTCATTTCTTGTGCAGTGTGTGAGACTGGCTGGCGCTGCTGCCTCATCAACAGAGACAAGAAAACGCCCACAGACTACATCCGCAATGGAGTCCTCTTCATCACAGAGAAGTGAGTCACTTTACACAGTCATTAATGATATAATGTCCTATAGTCAGCTTTTGTTTTTATCACTCTAACTATTCAAATATACACTACCCTTCAAAAGTTTTTGAACACCCTAATTTTTTCAGTTAGTTATTGCAATTCAAGTCGTGCAAGTCCAGTGAAGAGCTTGAAATTATACAAAGGAAAGAACTGAACAGACAGAGGTAAAAAAAAAAAAAGATAAAAGAAACAAGTCCAAGCTCTGCCAAAACGACATCAGGAAAAAAGAACAAGATAGTAAACTTGAAAACATTCAGTGTGCAGCAGCACAGTGTCCAGACTTAAACCCCATGGAGCTGGTTTGGGATGAACTGGACAGAAGAGTGAAGCGACCTACAAGTGCCACACATTTATGGAAACTTCTGCAACAGACTTGGGAAGAACTTTTTGAAGAAATATTTTATTTCTATTGTAAAAAGAACGAGCCACGAGTGTGTTCAGCTGTTATATCTGCCAAAGGTGGACACACACATCAATCAAAAGTTTAAATGGTGGTAAATGGTCACATTTTTCTATAGCACTTTTCCACCTTCAAGGCACTCAAAGTGCTTTACAACAAAGAACATCTCACCCATTCACACACACATTCACACACCAGTGTACACAGACACTGGGGGCAAGTTGGGTTAAGTGTCTTGCCCAAGGACACAACGAGAGCATATGTCATTTATGTTGAGAGCAGGATTCGAACTGCCAACCTTCAGATCAGTGAACTAACTAACTCCTAGGAATATGTTTAGAATACGTTTTGGTTTATAAACTGATTCCATGTTTTCTTTTTCAACTCAAACTGCTTATTTGTTCTATACTTTAATTTCAGAGTGCAATGACACAATAAACTGATACATTTTCAGTCAAAAACTGGAAAAAGTGTGTTCTAAAACTTCTGACCAGTAGTGTACAAAAGTAATATTCTTAGTTTAGTCTTTTCTTGGGGCCCATATGATGCTGTTTTCTGATCTATATCATGTTTCCTCATCACAAACAGACCTGGAGTTGTTCTATTTCGTTCACATGTTAAACACACAAATCCTGCATTCTTAGGCTTTAGCACTATTTCTCTCTGACAGAAAACATAGTTCCACCTTGTGATGTCATGTGGTGATACAGGAAGTGCTCCACTGTGTTTTTAAACTCCATTCACCTTCAACAAAATCATTTGGATAATTTTCAGACCTGGAATTAACCTCTGCTGAACTGAGGCTACGTTTATACGATAATGGTCTGAACAGAAGACACACAAGTGAGCGTTTTTGGGAGGAAATCTGCGTGCATACGGTGACACAAAAGTGTGTGGAATTCGATTGCGTATACATGCCGGGGGTGACACATGTAATGATGTATGTGATGTAAACGCGAACGCGACATGAGCAGATCTGACCAGAGTTTTGCGTCTTGGGCAGTGTAGATGGAAACGTTACGGCTGAGCGTATTCAACTGGAAAACTCTGAAGGGTGGTTTGAGATTTTTGCGTTTTTAAGCCCTAAAAAGGCCGTCACTGTCTAAACGAAAGGCACTTCTGATAAAATATTTAGTCATTTTTACCAGCAAGCGTTCTTATGTAAACAGGTCTTTAAGATAAAAATATACTGTATCTATTCACTTGGAAACTACTGCTTCATGACATCACAAGGTGGAACAGGGCATTTTGAGCCTTGGACATGTAGAAAGACATAATAAAGAACGTAAACATGTGTGAATGAAACAAAACATAGCTCCAGGTCTGTTTTTAAGGAGGTGACAGCATTAGGACATGGCTTAAAGGTCATACGAGTCAGTTTTGCGTGATATAGAACCTTTAACTTGTTTAATTTGTTAATGTTTATTTTTCCTGCAATAACCATAATTAATCGAAACATTTTTGTAGTCCATAATTTGTACCTGTAAAATAAAATTAAAGTGTAAAATGCAGAAATATCATGGAAGATTTCACTACAGATTTGTTTGAATTTTCATGGAGCGGTTGTTTTCTTATTTATTTGTTTTTCATATCTTCAGAGCATTAATTTTGATCTTATTGACATACACTACATACATTTCCCTTATCATTGTCAGTACATAACATGCTTCCTCTGTGCTGTAGTTACCTGTGTTTTGAGGTCTCCACTTCTCGATCGGGACCCTCCAAACGGAACAAAGTGATCAGGTTGAATGACATCACAGAGGTCCTGAAGGTAGATGGAGTAAGTTCTATTTTTAGTTCTATATTTTGATATTTCTGTTTGTTAATTTGTTGTTTTGATTTTAATGAGTGTTTTCCTCATTTTCTCAGTACAAAGTGTTGTCAGTTCTTCCTGGTTCAGGGATGGGCATCTCAATAGCTACACCAACCACACAGAAGGTAAGATATTGATTCTATAGAGATTGATTCATTCATCTCATTCATTCATTATTATAAAAGGCCCATGTTACGCTGTGTTCTGATCTGTTCTAATGGTGGTTCCATCACAATCCATGTATCATTCATTCATTCGTTTTTCAAAATAAATAAAACCAAAAATAAGAAAATGAAAAAACAACAGTTTTCTTCATTGTCTCCCAACCCAAAATGAAAGAAATTGATAACAATTTGTTTTTTCAGTTTTCGATTTTGTGTTTAAATGAACAATGGAAAAAATGGATAACATTTCCTGTTTCCGTGACTGAAACTGTGAAGCCAGACTTTTGCGCCGCATACGGACTGAACCAGAGCTAAACTACACCAGGTCTCACCCAGGATTAAACCCGGACTAAACCAGAACTGAACCAGGAGTGTCGAGACGGGCCCAGAGGTGCCCTCATGTAGACTGCCGGGTGATCAGGACTTAGATTGGGACCAGACTAGGACTGAGACTGGTTCAGTCCTGGTTTAGTCCTGGTTCAGTCCTGGTTTAGTCCTGGTTTAGTCCTGGTTTAGACCTGGTTTAGTCCTGGTTCAGTTCGGCATCACAGTTTGTCACGGAAACGGAAAACGTTTCCATTATTCATTTAAACACACACAAAAAAATTGAAAAAACATCATTATCCTTTTTTTCATTTTGGTTTTGGAGACAAATAATAAAGATTTTTTTTTTTTTTTTTTTTTTTTTCATATTTTTGGTTTTATTTTGAAAAACGAATTAATGAATGACACACAGATTCATCACAAACAGACCTGGAGTGTGTTTTGTTTCATTCACACATGATAATGATTTGTTTCTTAGATGGAAAACACTTCCACCTTGTGATGTCATGGTAATACAGGAAGTGCTCCACTATGTTAAGGCTAAAGTAAAAGGAGCTGTTAACTTGAAAAACTACTCTTTCATGACATCACAAGGTGGAACAGAGCATTTTGAGCTTTGCGGATGCAGGCAGCCTAATAATCCAGGATTACTCAAACATATGTGCATGAAACACAACACCAGGTGTGTTTTTGAGGAGGTAATAGCATTATAACATGGCTCAAACCTCACAAGAGTCTATTTGACTTAATATAGGACCTTTTTGGTGTGTAATGGATACACAGTTAAAAAAATCGATACAGCAATTAGAATAAAAGAAACACAAGATGATTAGATAAATAAATGGATGGCCACATGAGAAAAGCATATTGTTTGAATCAAAAAACAAAACACATGCTTTGAGGTCCAACTGTATCTTCATCTCACTGGTGTTGTTAATGCTGACACGCTACCCTGAGTCTCCATGGAGATGGGCAGTATAAAGCCATTCTGTGAAATATTCCAGGCACAACAGTACAATTTCCACAGAGACACACAGCAGAGGCGGGAGACTCTACACTAGAAAAGCTTCGTATTGTGCCTTTAACTTGAACTAAAATGTATTTTCATGCATGAGAAACCAAATTGGCTGTTGTGTGTAAAATCCCTCAGTCGTCCAGGTAGAATCCAGGGCAAAGGAGAAATTCACTTTGTCATCTGGACAAATGTTTATTGACAGATGATGTCTGAGGCTTTCATTTCTGTTCAAGGAAGAGTTGTTTTCCTACCAAAAATTGCGTCTTTAACTCCTGTCACAAACCAGTTCTTTTCTCTGGCTCAGATCTGTACCTCACTGTCCTCAAAGGAGTGGCCCAAATTGGCTGTTTTAAGAACACAAGGATTTTAAAAGAATAATTGCAAGTATTTTTGAAGTATTTTACAACTTTGAAAGTTCAGTGAAAATGTAACATTTTTTTTCACGGTTAAAGGGGGGTATTAGATGTTTTAGAGGTCATTTCTGCATGTTAATAAGTCTTTAGCCGACTCCCGCAGTCCCTATTCAAACCCTCCTACGATTCTGTCCTGTACTCCACCCGCAAACCTGCATCAGCCAGGCTCCTACATGATTATTCTCCATAAATATACAAAAACATGATATAAAACTGTACACAGCATTAAAATATGAATGTAATCAAACAAATGTATCGATTTATTTTCTTGTGTTTAGCCGCTGGTTTTCGGAGGAATGATGCAGAGAGATGAGGCCTTCGACGCCATCTTGTTTCAGCGAGCGAAGGTTACCATGACGACGGACCCAGATGAGGAGGCTAATTGAGTTTTTAGTATTTGTTTATGTATTATGGAGTGGTTGAGGGAACAAACAGTCCAGCTTTGAACAATCATGATGAGAAGACATTATCCAAAACAGCTACAACTGCCTTAAAACGTGACTGGAAGTTGGCAAACATTTACAAAACTGTGCAAAAGTATTTGTTTTTAAAAGTTACCATGGTTTTTAATTCTTTTTGGACACTTCAGTATTGGTACAGAACATTTTGAAGTTCAAATTCATTTATGAAATTGAAGGTTAAATTGAAGAAAATGAGTCCTGATGATAGTACATAGAAATTGGTTCAAATAGTTGTTGCGCCCTCTTCTGGCAACATTGAGGCGTGTGAAGCAGTTCAAATGAGATTACAGGGCCCACACGAAACTATTCTGATCTCTGTTCTAATGTTGTTTCCTCATCACAAACAGACCTGGAGTTGTGTTTTGTTTCATTTTCAGGTTTTAACACACAATATTTAGGCTGAGAAAACGCTGTCCCACCTTGTGGTAATACAGGAAGTGCTCCACTGTGTTTTTAAACTCCATATGCCTTCACTAAAATCATTCTGATCATTTCAACACTACTGAACAAAAGGTAAAAAGGAGCTGTTCACTTAAACTACTACTACATGACATCACAAGGTGGAACAGAGCTTTTTCAGCTTTGGAGATGAAGACAAACTAATAATAAAGGGTTACTCAAACCTGTGTGAATGAAACAAAACACAACTCCAGGTCTGTTTTAGAAGAGGTAACCGCGTTCAGAACATGGATCAAAGCTCACAAGAGTCACTGTTGTGTAATATTGGACCTTTTTAAAACAGTAGCTGCTAGTGTCAGAGTGAAAAATAGAAAGTTAATTTGAAGTACTCATTGAGGCAAGGTAACCTCACTCAATCTTTTGCACAGTACTGTACGTTTCATAGTAGAAGGGCAGTGGCATCAGAAAGCATGCATCTACATTACATATACTCATGCAAATCATCTTTTTTCAGTGTCATTCAGTAAATGTTCAATAATGTTGGCCTTATACACAGGCCTACGAGTATACCCAAAAACATGTAACAGATCATTCATAAAAGTACTTTTCTTACACTCTTATAATTTCACACCATAATAAATGTCCCTGCTTTATTTAGCTTCAGTTGTATAGTAAAATATTTTAATATACTACACCTAATTAGCCTGAATAAAGTATTCATAGATTTATGAAGAAGCATTCTGGCTTAGAATTTAGGGTCGAGTAGGGTGACCAGACGTCCCTGTTTACCTGGGACAGTCCCAGTTTTGAGCCTGCGTCCCCTGTGGCAGCAGATTTATCCAAAACCAGTGATTTGACACAGTTTTATACAAGAAATGTCCCAGGTGTCCCTATTTTGAACCAATTCGATCCCTGCCAACAGTAAACAGAGGCATAAACCATCATTTGTTTAGGTAAAATACAAAAAAGCTGCTTAAAAATGACCAAAACACAAAGAAAACATGACTATACTGACTCACATTAGTGCCGAGTGCAAAACAGTTTTCCTTAATTAATAGGGCTGAGTATTATTAAGAAGTTGTTGATACGATCTATACCTCAATACACTGACCACGATACGATACATATCTCATTACAGTGAGCTGTCGGTTCAATACCATATATTTCAAATCGATTTGATACGGTTCAATAAAAATGAAGGCTAAATCATGACTGTGATACTACAAGTCTTTGTTAAACCACTTCTTGTGCAAAGTTCATATGAAAAACACCAATTTTAATCATCAAAACAGTGAAAATGTCAAATGTGTCGCATAAATGAGTTTCCTTCCTCTGAACAAACAACAAAACTATAGATGTAACAAAATAATTGACTAAAATATACCAAAAAAATACTCTTGATACAGCAGCCCATGATATCGATACTGTATCATCACATTAAACGATACTATATATATCGATATTTTAGTATTTTTGGCACAACCCCTATTAATTACTCACTCATTTTACAATTTCATTAATACCAACCGAGTGTGTCCTAGTTTTTTATTTTGAAATCTGGTCACCCTAGAGTCGAGTAGTTAATAACACCTTGATTAAGTAAACCTGAATCATTCTATTCTAAACTATGCTTTACTATTCATGCTTTATTAAGGTTAATTAAGGTGTAGTGCCTGTGTATTTACAAGAATTATGCAGCTAATTTCATTAACGGGCTAATACTACGTGCTAAAGGAGCTCAGCAGTGGACAGGGACTTTCTGATGTTTCGGATGTAAAATTCTCCTTCATTTTTCCCAAACTGTGGTACGTGGACCTCTGGTGATTGTGAGTATTTGAGGTACAGACAGATACGTTTGTGTTTTTGTCTTCCTTTGGGCCAGTCAGTATTTAAAAGGATTGATCCCATTTTAGACTGTGTTTAGACCAGTTATAATCCGGGTTTAGATCTGGTGATACTCGGAAAGCCAAATGTTACCTAAATATTAAGACAAAGTAGAGCTGTGTAATGAATCACATTTTTTTAGTCAATGAAACAACAGTTCATTTGATTTTCAGTACAAAAAGGGCAAAACTTTAATATCATTTCTCATTTCTCTACATCTCAAAAAAATCATGATTTCAATTAGCACCCAAGTAATTGTATGACCAGTGTACCACAACTGTATTCAACAAGAAAACACAACAAAAAATGTAGACTTTTATTATATTATATTTTAGTATATTTAACTGACATAGGTTTTGTCTGTGAGCAGATTACCACGTGTTCAAACTCTTTACACTTTATGGATGACAAAAGCGTTGATGGGAGATTTGGTCCCTGCCCACTGCTGTGCTCCAGAGGGCTATAAATAATAATAATAAATAATACTGACTGGTGTAAACTATGGTGACTACTCGAGACCAGCAGCTCTATCCAAGTGGTTCCTTTTCTACACTGTAAACATGGGTATTGTCTCTGTGCTTTTGTCTGAGCATTTGTTTACACTTTCAGATCAGAGCAAATGTGTTTTGCTGCTATTTCATGTATTTGTATTTAAAAGGACTCAGTTTACAAGGTTATTTGAACTGCATTTGACTGTTTGTCTGCTCTTTTGTCTTGTCTTTATAGTTTAATTTTTAATGTTATGGGTTTGAAGCACTGTTTTTACATTTATTTATGTTAATGTAAAGTTGTGATGGAATTTTTTTATTAAAACCTTTTAATTACCATATGTTGGTACCAGAGGTTGTTGATTTTTCATTCACGTTGGACATAATGTCCAAGTTTGGGAAGTTATAGTTTGGTTTTCAAAACAATGGAAATCCATTCATGGAAAGTAGGACAAGCGTCACGAGTCTCTCATTTGAGTTTCAAAGCTGAAATCCAGTTGGTTTAAACCTAAAATGCCACTCACTCCCTAAACCACAGCATCTGCATCAATGCTAGTGCAGCCTCTGCGGCTCAGGGAGGGAATTCTGGAGGTTCTGAGCGTCACATGAGACATGAGTCCATAAACTGAGAATGAGACAAACTTTGGATGTGTATATCTGCAGCTGAAGGCTCTGGAGACACAGGTTCATTTGTGATTGCGTTTCATTTTTGTAACTAATAGTGCAGGCAGTCTACATACAGTTCCTTTGAATGACTGTGTTATTGACGAGAGAAACAAATGTGAAAAGTAAAGTTATTTGACTTTGTAGTGTAGTAATAATATTCTAAAGAATTATGAAAAACTACAACAGCTTTAACAAAACAGATTTTTAATGAACATTGAACAGCAGTAAAAAGACAGAACAAGCAAGATTAAGTATGAATGCTTTTCTCCGTACAACATGAACCTTTTAAAGAACGAAGTTCCTACAAACTTGCTGTTTAAATGTTCAGAAATAGCGAGTGGCGAGAAAAGTGGGGGCAGATCTGAGCCAGAGAAAAGAACTGGTTTGCCAGAGGAGTTAAAGACGCAATTTTTGGTAGGAAAACAACTCTTCCTTGAACAGAAATGAAAGCCTCAGACATCATCTGTCTCCCATCTACAACTCCATCCTAAAACCTAAAATAAAAGAGAACAACAGGGGCAGCCAGGTCAGGGCCAGAGGTGTGAAAACACTCATTATGGGCCTGAATGATTCCGCTATGTCCCTTCACTCAGGACAGATGAATAGGCCGAGCTACAAACAAACTGTAAACAAGTAGGTGTTAGTTTCAGAGTGGTTTCAGTGCAGTTAGCTCCCCCTTCAGGCAGTTATAAGGAAGTGTCCACCAGCGTCTGACCACAACTGAAGAAGCAGCTTGGATGAGTTCTGAAACTTTTTCAACCTAAATAAACATTTGTCCAGATGACAAAGTGAATTTCTCCTTTGCCCTGGATTCTACCTGGACGACTGACGGATTTTACACACAACAGCCAATTTGGTTTCTCATGCATGAAAATACATTTTAGTTCAAGTTAAAGGCACAATACGAAGCTTTTCTAGTGAAGAGTCTCCCGCCTCTGCTGTGTGTCTCTGTGGAAATTGTACTGTTGTGCCTGGAATATTTCACAGAATGGCTTTATACTGCCCATCTCCATGGAGACTCAGGGTAGCGTGTCAGCATTAACAACACCAGTGAGATGAGGATACAGTTGGACCTCGAAGCATGTGATGTTTTGTTTTTTGATTCAAACAATATGCTTTTCTCATGAGGCCATCCATTTATTTATCTAATCATCTTGTGTTTCTTTTATTCTAATTGCTGTATCGATTTTTTTAACTGTGTATCCATTACACACCAAAAAGGTCCTATATTAAGTCAAATAGACTCTTGTGAGGTTTGAGCCATGTTATAATGCTATTACCTCCTCAAAAACACACCTGGTGTTGTGTTTCATGCACATATGTTTGAGTAATCCTGGATTATTAGGCTGCCTGCATCCGCAAAGCTCAAAATGCTCTGTTCCACCTTGTGATGTCATGAAAGAGTAGTTTTTCAAGTTAACAGCTCCTTTTACTTTAGCCTTAACATAGTGGAGCACTTCCTGTATTACCATGACATCACAAGGTGGAAGTGTTTTCCATCTAAGAAACAAATCATTATCATGTGTGAATGAAACAAAACACACTCCAGGTCTGTTTGTGATGAATCTGTGTGTCATTCATTAATTTGTTTTTCAAAATAAAACCAAAAATAAGAAAAATTTGTCTCCAAAACCAAAATGAAAAAAAGGATAATGATGTTTTATCTTTTTTTTATTTTTTATTTTTGTGTTTAAATGAATAATGGAAAAAACGGATAACGACCGTTTTCCGTTTCCGTGACTTAAACTGTGATGCCGAACTGAACCAGGACTAAACCAGGACTAAACCAGGACTGAACCAGGACTAAACCAGGACTAAACCAGGACTAAACCAGGACTGAACCAGGACTAAACCAGGACTAAGCCAGGTTTTAAACCAGGACTGAACCAGGACTAAACCAGGACTAAACCAGGACTGAACCAGGACTAACCCAGGACTAAACCAGGACTGAACCAGTCTCAGTCCTAGTCTGGTCCCAATTCAGTCCTGATCAGCCGGCAGTCTACATGAGGGCACCTCTGGGCCCGTCTCGACACTCCTGGTTCAGTTCTGGTTTAGTCCTGGTTTAATCCTGGGTTAGACCTGGTGTAGTTTAGCCCTGGTTCAGTCCGTATGCGGCGCAAAAGTCTGGCTTCACAGTTTCAGTCACGGAAACAGGAAGCGGTTGTTATCCATTTTTTCCATTGTTCATTTAAACACAAAATCGAAAACTGAAAGACAAATAATGAAGAAAACAGTAGATTTTTTTTTCGTTTTCTTATTTTTGGTTTTATTTATTTTGAAAAACGAATGAATGAACGATACATGGATTGTGATGGAACCACCATTAGAACAGATCAGAACACAGCGTAACATGGGCCTTTTATAATAATGAATGAATGAGATGAATGAATCAATCTCTATAGCAGGGGTGTCAAATTCATTTTGGTCCGGGGGCCGTATCCAACCTACTTTGATTCCAAAGGGGCCGGATCAGAAAATCCATGTCATATAAACCCCAAAAATAACAATAAGTTCAAATATTTGTGCAGAGAAACACAAATCTATTACAGAAATATTTTTTAATTGATGAACTCTTTCTTATTATAATATTATAATATTATGAACAACCTGAAACTTTAAGTGAAATTAAATTTCAACACAATGTTTTAACATGAACTTGTTTGCAAATAGGAATAAGTACATTTTTTCTTGTAAAATCCTGCACTTGGCTCCACTTTTCTCATGTTGGACATTTTTCTGATGAGGGTGTCACGGTCAACAGTCAAAACGATCGTCCTTTAAGAGCGTTTGGAAAGAGACAAGTCTTCATTTGTGCTGCCCTGGTGGGAGGGGCCACGTACAGAGACACTGGAGACGCTGCTGTGATAAACACCACAGAAAATTACCAATATTTTAATAGAAAATATAATTTAAATATTTTAGTAGAAAATCACCCAAGGGCCACATTAAAGGTCTTGGAGGGCCGGATCTGGCCCCTGGGCCTTATGTTTGACACCTGTGCTCTATAGAATCAATATCTTACCTTCTGTGTGGTTGGTGTAGCTATTGAGATGCCCATCCCTGAACCAGGAAGAACTGACAACACTTTGTACTGAGAAAATGAGGAAAACACTCATTAAAATCAAAACAAGCGTGCATGAATCATGAATTTATCTTGATGATAAATAATTAATCCATTTGCAAAGCCTGATAAGTTTTTGGAATACAGACAAAGGGTTATTCTTGTTACAGCAGATATGGACAGGGCCTGGTGCCTTGGCCAGAGACCCACAGCCTCCCCTCCTCAGCCGTATGTTAGACCCCGAATGATACAAAGCACCAGAGGACAAACATTTCAAAGTGAGCAGGTGACTACTCCTACTGAGGTGTGGCCAGATGTGCTTGAACAGATCAGCGAGCAAAAGGGAACAGAAGTGTTTACATTGAAGGGTCTTTCTAACACGGTCTAACAAACCGTATGAGTTTTAGTTACAAGACCAAATGTGTTCTAAAAGATAAACTAATCAATATTTGAATTTTCCTGTGGGGTGGGACAGTTGTGTCTGCTGAGCCTTTCCAAATGTTAATGACTGATCTGGCCTCAGGTAGAAGTCACATTCAAATCACAATAAAAAGCTTAAAACGTGATTTTACACCCCCTTTTATGCCTTCTTTAACAATTCTGCCCTACAAAGACAGAGCACCATAATGTCATGTTTGGTCAAAAATGAGTTAATGTAATTCTGGGGATATTTGAGACCTTGTTTATCATGTGAATAAATATCGTGTTAAACATTGGGCTCAAAATTGACCTTTGACCCTTATTTGTCAGTTCCTGTTCTCTGCTTTGGTATGATGAGCCAAAAATAAGGAGTTGTGCAAAGACAAAAGGCAGAAACAGTGCATGTTGTGTTTGTGATTTAGTTCATAAATATAGTTTATATTTTATAAATATATTACCTTTTTGTTGTGACCTTGGCACAGAGTCTTAACACATTCAGTAAAAAAAAACTTTGTATTCAGTCATACTTCAGTGATCTTTAATGTGAAAGTATTTTGTGTATTTATTCACTCTTCATTCACTGTTTAAGTGTCGCTGCAGATCCTGATCAAAACTAAACAGGAAATCCAAAGTTCTTCTAAATCATTTTAAACAAACACATGATGACTCGAGCTTGGTGAGGTGTTCTTATAATGGATGTAAATCTGGAGAAAATCAAACAAATAATGATCATGTCAATTTCTGCCTTTTCCTTTGCACTACAGAGTACAGTAACTGCCAAATAAAGGTCAAGGGTCAATTTTAAGCTCAATATTTTTCGCCTACAAATATTTCTTCACCATTATACTTTTGTCTGGACAAAACAGAAATTTTAAACTCATTTGTCTGGGTTTCACACTGGCGAGTTAAGCTCTTTTACCTTTGCAGAGCTGAATACTAGAGAATACTACGCTGTCATTGAGTTTTATTTTGAAAAGCCGTAACCGGAAGCTGCTCAGTCTCCACTTATTTGTGATGCTAAACGTGCAAATGGATGCAGCGATGAACTCCGGACACAATTTCACGTAAAACACCACAATTAATCTTCATCAAACGTCACTGAAAAAGGTAACCTTTGATTAAAACGGTTCGCTAAATGTGTCTTTAAAATGTTACGATGTTAACGTGATTCGCAGCGTCAACAACAATATTGATGGATATACAGCGACCCCCCATAGCCTAAAAGATTAGCTGAGTTTTAACGCCCAGTGCACTTAAATTATTTAGATATGTCTTTATCTTTTTGCGTAATAAAGTTGTAATAGTCAGGGATGTTAGCGTCGGTACATAATTTTAGCGTCATCCTCTGCACGTATCCCGCACACGTCAGTTTCAGCATCAGCAGAGCAGTCAATCATCTGCATTTTCATTTGAGAAATCAAAGAAAGAACAACAGGGGTTTATCATTTTACTGGGGGAAAAAAATGTTTACAATAGAGTTATTTGGTATTTAAAATGCTGATCAATGCAAGAATCTAATATTATATCACTTATTTGTCTTATGGAGATGTTATTGTGGCCTACAAAATGAAAGAGGTGGAGTAAAGACGAAGGAGGCAGGATAATAGTTGGAGGACAAGAGGGTCTCTATTTATTGAGAGAAAGTGTGGAAGAAGTAAGAGAGAAACTGGGTTATTTTATATGTTGTTACAGGTTCAAGGAGTATGGCGCCTGTGCACATCTGTACCACAACTGAAGCCCATTTAGTGGCTTACATTATGACTTTGCTCAGAATGTTCCACAGTATGGCATTAAAGCAAGACTATTATTAAGGACTGCACACCCTCAGAACTGACAGTTTGAATAGCTCTCGTCTGGGAGGCGCTACAGGAGCGTCATGTCTAGAACTATTCAGCTCACTAACAGTTTCTTCCCACAAGCCATTAGACTTTTAAATAGTCAGTGACTATAACTACTGTTATTGGTTTATGCACTTCGTGGTCCATGTCTTTTTAGTTTTGGCCATCATTCACTGTACTCATGTATTCTAAGAGACGCAAGTAAGTAAGTAAGCAAGTAAAAACTTCATTGCATAGCTGAAACTATGTTTTTCATTGTGTACATGACAATAACATTTCTTTGGAACTTTGAAACTGGCAGAGCCACCACCAGAAAACTTAAACAGTGCACCTGCATAAGATAATAATTATCATAAAATCAAGGCAAAGGCAAAGCAGAGCAGGTTTATCTGTGTACCACAATAAGTACTGAAAGTAACTGAAAGTGCTTTAGGGCTTGATTTCTTGTACTTTTTTTTACTATTATAGTTTTGAGAGCTTTGGCTACGCCCCCCTTTTATTCGACTAACTGATCGGCAGCACATGTCTAGTCCACCAAGAATTGCTTTGGGCGAATACAGTCCTAGTGCTTTACAGAAAAAGAATCACATTAAATCACAATACAAACAAATGACAACATATACCACTCTAATGAAATTAACATTACAAGTCCTATATTACACAAAATTGACTCTTGTGAGCTTTACGCCATGTTAGAATGTTGTTACCTAGGTGTGTTTTGTTTCATTCACACATTTGAGTACCTCTTTATTATTAGTCTGTCTATATCCCCAAAGCTCAAAATGCTCTGTTCCACCTTGTGATGTCACGAAACGGTACTTTTTAAGTTAACGGCTCCTTTAACCTTTAGTTCAGTAGAAATCGGCAGTAGCCGGGCTGAAATGATCCGAATGATTCTAGTGACGATGCCTGGAGTATGACCAGTATGACCACATGACATCACAAGTTGGAAATTGTTTTCTGTTTGAGAGAAGAGCTCAGCAGGGATTGTGTGTAAAACATGTGTGAATGAAACGAAACAAAGCTTGAGGTATGTTTGTGATGAGGAAACTACATTAGAACAGATTTGAATAGAGTGTAATAGCTAAACAGAACAGAGCCTACAATCATATTTTTTGTTTTTTCTCCAGTGGTGAAGCAGCAGCAGTAGCATCATGTTGGCCCGCAAAGGTCTGCTGCCGGACGGGTTCCTGTTGACCCGATTGGCCGAGGATCAGAACCAACTGAAGAGCACCCGGATCCGAGCCCAGAGAGCGCGCTTCATCACCAAGACAGGCTCCTGCAACGTGGCCCACAAGAACATCAGGGAGCAGGTACCACACACGCCTCTAGAGCATTTGGGAAAAATATCAAATGTGATTTTTCTGACAAGCTTTGAGGTTAAATGTAAGATTAATGTTTTAATAATAGGATACTGTTAAAAGTTCACATTTTAAATGCGTCCAAAATAATTGACAAAAACAGTGAAATATGAAATGATAAATTAATACAAGCATCACATATCAGAACATCCTAGATTTACAGTTAGGGATGGGAGTGGAGAATATCTTGTACCATAATATCTCACATGAGAAAAATTATCTTATGAAATTTTTTTTCATGTGTTTTGGACAAAAAAAGTCAAATGCTTGCTGTAGCAAACTGTAGTTCCAAAAGACATAGCTACAATAATAGCAAAAGTGTAAAAGACAAGAAAAGAAAGAAATTGTGAGTTCAAAGTTGTGAATCATACAAATTGTTTATTATTTTTATCAAAGTCTCGTCTTGTCTGGTTTTCGCAGACCCAGTCTCGTGTCTCAGATTCAGTCAGATTGCCTGATCAGCCAGTCTCTCCTCCTATGCAGCATGTCTACAATTCTAATTTCTCTAAAATGCTTGCAGTTGTAATCAAGACAACAGATAATAATCTGTTTGCAGAGGGGGAGGCTCCACATTAAGGTTGAGTAGAAAAGGGAGTGGTCTGTAACCTTCAGTTGTCATTTATCTCCATGGAAACAAAAACAGCATCTTTTACCAGGGCAATAGCTGATTTTGTTGTCCATTTAATCACAATGATAAAAATCACTCTTTATGTAGACAATAGAATGTGACTTTCAACATTATATCATAGTACGTGGGGCAACAATTTTTTTCATGGAGCCAGCCCAGAACTCAATTCTGCATAATATGAATTGTATTTCTTTATATATAAAAAAAGTAAAAAGCATTGTACAATAGCACTGACAGCTGCAAGCTGCTCAGACTGGTAAGAGTTTATGTTATGACTAAGCAATGAAAATGTGAGGTTGCCTTATAAAAAATGTCACTTAAACAAACACCTTTAAAATAATGGTAAAATCATAAAATATGTTTATCTTGTAATTCTAAATGAGCTTAAAGGAGCTGGTCAAAATCAAACAAAGAGTCGTATGTGGCCCAGGACCAGGTCTGGTCTAAAATTGTCCCCCAGACTAAAAAAGCATAAACTATACTTTGGCACAAAATCACAATATGTAACTACAGCTCTTGAAAATTTTTGCTTATTGCATAAAAGTGGCAAAGGAGAAATTCACTTTGACAAATTGAATTTGTCCTTTGCCATAGAGTCTACCTGATGACTGAGGGATTCTACACACATTGCAGAAAAGTGTGACTATAGTGTTGTGAACAACTGTATGAATATGAAATATAGGCAATAAATCATAATTATACTCCACAAATTATTAATATAGGAATTAGGGACGGGCATTCGATGAAATTTTCTTAATCGATCGTCGGAAGAATTAACGATTGATTATCGATTAATCATTAACGTTTTTATATTAAAATGATCATCATTAATATTACTATCTGCACTACTAATCTGCATAAATAAATTCAACTTTACGACATATAAACTGTAACCACTCTAGAGCCACATCAATCCGTTTGACATTATAATGTGTTTAATTCAGTTTTGCGCAACTCTCACAGAAACAAAACTTAAAACTGCATCGCTAATTTGCATAAACTAAGAGAAGATAAAACTACAGCTCTTGTGCACTGATGTGGTTCAATTTCTGTCAGATTAAAAGACATGATGTGACCAGATTTGCATTTGTCAAACCCAGGACACCGTACGGGGGGAGGGAGGTGGGGACTCGTCATCGACATTGCGCGACTCTCACCTGACAAAACTTTTTCCCACTGGACACAAAAACATATGTGCTGCTTTATACACTGTGCACATGGACTCACACTTGTCCCGAACGCAACGGAAAGTGTGGAATTTCTTGTACAAATCATCGTTAAATACACATTTGTGCTTCAGTACGTTGCAGACTGACCCACTGTTTGTGTCTCGCTCCTTCTGATGCAGAGACACATGTACACACCTGTTTGGTCACACTACACACAGCAAACTACATTCGGTTTGTCAATTAAAATGAACGTAATCGATGAAATTCTTGATGATCAATTATCGATTAATCGACTAATCATGCCCATCCCTAATAGGAATAATTTTTGTCATCATAGTTTGAACAAAATCTATAGGAAACACAGGTATGAGGTTTTATACTTGTTCTGATACACCTCGAGGTCATTCTAAAACTATTCAGAAAAGGTTCACTTCTGTCCTGTGTATGACTTTTCTAGTATCGACACCTGCTCAAATGAGTTTTTTTTACTTGTTTTAGTATCGATTAGTATCTACATTTTTCATAGTTTTGACAACCCTAGTGACCAACCAGTTATTGTCATGAGCATGGCTACAATCTTCTATTTAACAAATTAGGAAGTATAATCTTTTTTTCTCCTCTGTTTCTTAGGGCCGTTTTCTGCAGGATGTGTTCACGACGATGGTGGATCTGAAATGGCAGCACTCATTCCTGATTTTCACCTCAGCATTCCTCTGCTCCTGGATGCTCTTTGCGATGGTGTGGTGGCTTTTGGCCTTCGCTCACGGAGATCTGGAGCCACGCGACCCCAATGGAGAGCCCGGCCCGGTGCCCTGTGTCACCGCTATCCACTCATTCACCTCCGCATTCCTCTTCTCCATAGAGGTTCAGGTGAGGGGCAAGAGCTGAGGTGGACATTCTTATTTAGTCCTGGTTTACTTCTGGTTTAGTCCTGATTTAGTCCTGGTTTAGTCCTTGTTTAGTTCTGGTTTAGTCCTAGTTGTGTCCTGGTGTAGTCTGGGTTTACTCCTAGTTTTGTCCTGATTTAGTCCTGGTTTAGTGCTTGTTTAGTTCTGGTTTAGTCCAAGTTGTGTCCTGGTTTAGTCCTGGTTTAGTTCTAGTTGTGTCCTGATTTAGTCCTGCTTGTGTCCTGGTTTAGTCCTTGTTTAGTCCTGGTTTAGTCCAAGTTGTGTCCTGGTTTAATCCTGATTTAGTCCTGCTTGTGCCCTGGTTTAGTCCTGGTTTAGTCCTAGTTGTGTCCTTGTTTAGTCCTGGTTTAGTCCTAGTTGTGTCCTGGTTGTAGTCTTGGGTTAGTCCTGGTTGTGTCCTGGTTTAGTCCTGGTTTAGTCCTAGTTCTGTCCTGATTGTGTCCTTGTTTAGTCCTTTGTTTAGTCCTAGTTCTGTCCTGGTTTTAGTCCTGTTTTAGACCTGGTTGCGCATTGTAGTAAACTTAGTTTTGTGTTGGTTTAGTTCTGGTTTGGTCTTGGTTTAGTCCTGGTTTAGTCTTGTTGTAAATCCTGCTTTTCTAATCCTGGATTACTGGTTTAGTCTTGCTTTAGTCCTAGTTTAGTCTTGATGTAGTCTTGGTTGTTTTAAAATGTCAGTGATCAGTTTAATACAGCACAGACTTGTGGGAGCAGACTCAGAGAATGGATTTGAGGAGTTTACAAGGATACACTCGACTCTCTCACCTTTTGTGAAGGGTGGACTTGATGACAACACAGGAAATAAAACTCATGTGGGTGCTCGCTTTTATTGTAGCTCAGAGTGTGACGTTTCACATGTCCACAGGTCACAAGTCTGCACAAGTCACAGATGGTAGCTTTAAGCGTTTATTTATTATGTATTACAGTCAGCCATTAATATGTGAACTTTTTGGGACTAACACTGGGACTAAACCAGGACTAAACAAAGACTAAACCAGGGCTAAATCAAGACTAAATACACCAGGAGTTAAATCAAGACTAAACCAGGGCTAAACCAAGACTAAACCAGAGCTAAACCAAGACTAAACCAGAAGTTAAACCAAGACTAAACCAGAAGTTAAACCAAGACTAAACCAGGACTACACCAAGACTAAATCAAGGCTAAAACAGGACTAAACCAAGGCTAAGTCAGGATTGAACCAGGACTGAACAAGGACTGAAAAAGACTAAATCAGGGCTAAACCAAGTGTTCTGCCCCCAGTGGAGAATATCTCTGTTTTGAGTTTATCTGTTTTGTCCACTCTGAGCTACCTTAGCCGCCATATTGTTCTAGAGTCTAGGTTAGACTCTAACCTATGCATCGCAACGGCAGCGTATTGCTGACGATCACGAGTCGTCGCCTATTATAAGCCTGCCGCTCCACGATCTAAATCATATCATGATATATCATATCATGTCATATCAATCTCTCTCTGTACATGGTGCCGAATACAACAGATCGATTGATAGGTCGGTTGGTAGCCTATAGAGCGGCGGGTTATGTCTGCGGACCACAGGCTGTAAAGTTGTGAGTGCGATCGCGTCAGTTGTTTCCTGTCTGCAGTAAAATCATTCGCCACTGCACTTCTACATCGGCTTATATGATAGGCTATATGGGAGCACAAAGTTTATATACCGATTCTCCGCAACGCTGCCAATACGCCATTATTATACAAACAAACGCTAAAGTGTCCTCCATCAAAACTGAGTGTGAAATGAATGAATAATGAAAGTGCTTTGGCCGTCTCTTGACCAAATTTTGCTCAAGATGGTTCCCCAGATGATGCCTTTGGATCCTCGCAACTTCTAAAGTTCTAAGTTGCTGCACTGAAGACCTCCAGCAGTAAATTCTACAGCTAATGATTATTTGATCTATTAATACAAAGTTTTTCCTTTAACATTCATCTCAAGTCCAGTGCAGTTTGTGCAGAGCATATCTGACCGCTGTAATGAGTGTGGAACAGCACAAGCACATGTGTGAACGTCTGAGGGCATGTTATTGTAATATAAGAGCTTACAGCAGACCAGAGGTGCAGACTGAAGAAGAGAAAGAAATAAGAGAGAAAGCGAGGAGGGGAGGAGGAGGAAGAAGAAAAGAGGAGGAAAAGGTGAAGAGGAAAAGGAGAGAAGGAAAAGAGAAGTTTAGGATGAGAGGGAGGTGAGAGGAAGGGAGAAGGTGCAGAGGAAGAAGAGAGGAGGGCAGGAGAACAAGAAGAGGGAAGGAAGAGAAGAGAAGAGAGAGGAGGGGAGGATGAGAAGAAACAGAGAGGAAGGGAGGAGGAGGAGATGAAGAAGAGAGGAGGATTGGAGGAGAAAAGGAGGAGGAGAGAAGAAGAGGGGAAGGAGAGGAGGAGGAAAGGAAGAAGAGGGGAGAAGCAAGAAAGGAGAAGACGGGAGGAGTAGGAGAAGAACAAGAAGGGAGGAGGGGAGAGGAAGAAGAAAGGAGAGGAGGAGGAGGAAGAGAGGAAAAAAGAAAAAGGAGAGGAGGAGGAAAGGAAGAAGAGAGGAAGAGGTAGCAAGAAAGGAAGAAGACGGGAGGAGTAAGAGAAGAACAAGAAGGGAGGATGAGGAGAGGAGGAAGAAGAAGAGAGGAGGAGGAGAGAAACAAGAGAGGAAGGAGACGAGAAGCAAGAAAGGAAGAAGACGGGGGAGGAGGAGAGGAAGAAGAAGAGAGGAGAGAAGGAGGAGGAAAAAGGGAAGAAAGAGTGGAGGAGAGGAAGAGGGGAGAAGCAAGAAAGGAAGATGACAGGGGAGGAGGGGAGGAGGAGGAGATGAAGAGAGGAGGAGGAGAGGAGGAAAGGAGGGGAAAAGGAGGAGAAGAGAAGAAGAGAGGAAAGGAAAGGAAGAAGAGGGGAGAAGCAAGAAAGGAGAAAACAGGGGAGGAGTAGGAGAAGAACAAGAAGGGAGGAGTGGAGAGGAAGAAGAAGAAAGCAGAGGAGGAGAGAAAGAAGAAAGGAGAGGGAGCGGAAAAAACGAGGAGAGGAGGACGGGAGTAGTAAGAAAGGAAGAAAAGTGGGGAGGAGTAGGAGGAGAGGGGCAAGAGGGGAAGAGGAGGAGAGGGAGAGGACGAAAAGAGGAGAGGAAGAAGGGAGTAGTAAGAAAGGAAGAGAAGAGGGAGTAGGAGGAGAGGAACAAGAGGGGAATGAAAAATGAAAATCACCAAGTTTAGTTTCAGATTTTATTTATGGCAGAGGGGTGGTGGGGTGGGGTCAGGTTTTTTTTTTTGGTTTTCTGGTGTGGTTTCTGTCTGTGTTTCTTCATCACGTCTGTCTCTCTCTCTTCATCCCCTCGTCTCTCGTTCGCTGTCAAACTGTAAACTCTGACTCGGATTTTATCGTTTCTTGTTACGTCATACATGTGAAGAGAGGAGAGAAAGAACAGGAGAGGAGGAGAGAGAGACAGGAGAGAGAGGATAGAGAGAGGAGGAGGGAGAGAGAGAGAAGGAGGAGAGAGAAGAGCCGCTCTTGGTGTGAGCCGTCCCCCAGCAGCACGGCTCCTGGGATCATTCAGGCTCCAAAACCCCTCCACCACGGTAAGGTGACGACTCAAGGAGGGGAGGAAAAAGGAGACGACAGGACCGGACACGACGGGAGGAAAGAGAAAGAGAGAATAGATGAGAGAGAGAAAGAGAGAAGAGAAAGAGAGAAGAGATGAGAGAGAGAGAGAGACAGGAGAGAGAAAGAGAGAAGAGAAAGAGAGAAGAGAGAGAGGAGGAGAGAGAGAGAGAGAGGAGGAGGGACAGAGAAGGAGAGGAGGGAGACAGGAGAGAGGGGGGGGGAGACATAGATAGACAGAGAGAGGGAGAGATAGAAGAGAAAAGAGATCTTGGGGGAGAGACAAAAGAGAGAGAGAGAAGAGTGAGGGAGAAACAGGGCGAGAGAGAGAGGAGGAGAGATTAGGAGACAGAAGAGAGGGAGAGAGAGAGGGGGGGAGAGAGAAGAGCTAGAGAGAAACAGGGAGAAAGAGAGAAGAAAAGAGAAGAAAGAGAGGGAGATGGCGAAAGAGATGGAGGATAGAGAGAGAGAAAGAGAGAGAAAGAGAAGGAGAGAGAGAAGAGCAAGAAAGAAAGAAGGAGAGAGAGAGGAAGAGAGAGAGAAGTAGAAAGATGAGAGGGAGAGAGAGAGAAGGAGGAGAGAGAGCCGCTCTTGGTGTGAGCCGTCCCCCAGCATCACAGCTCCTGGGATCATTCAGGCTCCAAAATCCCTCCAACACGGTAAGGTGACGACTCAAGGAGGGGAGGAAAAAGGAGACGACAGGACCGGACAGGACGGGAGGAAAGAGAAAGAGAGAATAGATGAGAGAGAGACAGAGAGAGAGAGAGAGAGGAGGAGAGAGAAGAGAGACAGGAGAGAGAGGGGGGGGGAGAAGAGAGACATAGATAGAGAGAGGGAGAGAGAGAAGAGAAAAGAGATATTGGGGGAGAGACAAAAGAGAGAGAGAGAAGAGTGAGGGAGAAACAGGGCGAGAGAGAGAGAAAGAGAGAGAGAGGAGGAGAGAAAGAGAGAGAGAGGAGGAGAGAGAGAGAGGAGGGGAGAGAGAATGAGAGTGCGTAAGATGGAGGGTAGAGAGAGAGAGAAGAGAGAGATAAGAGAGGGAAGAGAGAGGAGGAGAGAGAGAGGGGGAGAGATTAGGAGATAGATGAGAGGGAGAGAGAAGAGCTGGAGAGAGAAAGAGGGAGGGAGGGAGAGAGAGGTGGGGATTAGAAAAGGGGGGAGAGAGAGGATGAGAGAGAGGGAGAAGGAGAGAGTGGGAGAGAAAGAGAAAAAAGGAGAGAGAAAAGCTAGGGAGAAAGAAAGAGAGGAAGAGAGAGATAAGAGAAAGGGAGCAAAAGACAGAGTGACAGGGAGAGAGAGAAGAGGGAGGGAGAGAGAAGCAGGAGAGAGAGAGAAAAGGAGAAGTGAGAGAGATAGAGCGAAAGTAGAGGGAGAAGGAAGGACTACTGCTTCAGAAAAGAGAAAAGCCAAGACAAGAAGGATGTGCAAGCTGTGGCAAGAGAAGCAAGAAGAGCAGCAGGCGGGGGCGTGGCAGGAGCGGCAGGCGGGGGCGTGGCAGGAACGGCCGGCCAGTACCTGGGACTCAGACGATGAACAGCACAGGGGTACCTAACAGAAGGAGCAGAGCGGGGCAAAGCAGGAGCAGGGAGAGACAGACCAGAAGAGGTAGGGGTGAGCAAAGCAGGAGCAGAAGGCAGGGGCGTGGCAGGAACGGCTGGCCAGGACTTGGGACACAGACGAGGAACAGCACAGGGGTACCTAACAGAAGGAGCAGAGCGGGGCAAAGCAGGAGCAGAAGGCAAGGGCGTGGCAGGAGCAGCAAAGAGGGAAACAGTAGGAGGAGGTGCAGAGGGCTTGGGGCGCCTGGCGAGAGAGGCGAAGAGGGGCATAGGAAGAGCGGCGGGAGCAGCAGCGGGCGCGGCAGGAGCACGAACGAGACGAGGAATCCTAAAAGAAGTAGCAGGCAGGGGCGTGAAAGGAGCAGCAGCGGGCGCGGCAGCAGCGGGTGCGGCACAGCGGGCGCGCAGCAGCAGCGGCAGCAGCGGGGCGCAGCAGCGGGCGCGGCAGCAGCGGGCGCGGCAGGAGCACGAACGAGACGAGGAATCCTAAAAGAAGTAGCAGGCAGGGGCGTGAAAGGAGCAGCAGCGGCAGCAGCGCGCGGCAGCAGCGGGCGCGGCAGCAGCGGGCGCGGCAGCAGCGGCGCGGCAGCAGCGGGCGCGGCAGCAGCGCGGGCGCGGCAGGAGCACGAACGAGACGAGGAATCCTAAAAGAAGTAGCAGGCAGGGGCGTGAAAGGAGCAGCAGCGGGCGTGGCAGCAGCGGGCGCGGCAGCAGCGGGTGTGGCAGGAGCGGCGGGAGTAGCAGCGGGCGCGGCAGGAGCGGCGGGAGCAGCAGCGGGTGTGGCAGGAGCGGCGGGAGTAGCAGGAGGCAGGGGAGCAGCAGGAACCCTAAAAGAAACAGACACGATATCGTCAGTGGAGGCCATGTCGACATCGTTCGGGTAGAAGAGTGAAGCTGCTGCAGGCGGGGACACTGGAGCTGCAGTGGGCATGGCAGGAGCAGCGGGAGCAGCAGGAGGCAGGGGAGTAGCAGGAACCCTAAAAGAAACAGACACGATATCGTCAGTGGAGGCCATGTCGACATCGTTCGGGTAGAAGAGTGAAGCTGCTGCAGGCGGGGACACTGGAGCTGCAGTGGGCATGGCAGGAGCAGCGGGAGCAGCAGGAGGCAGGGGAGTAGCAGGAACCCTAAAAGAAACAGACACGATATCGTCAGTGGAGGCCATGTCGACATCGTTCGGGTAGAAGAGTGAAGCTGCTGCAGGCGGGGACACTGGAGCTGCAGTGGGCGTGGCAGGAGCAGCGGGCGTGGCAGGAGCGACAGGAGCAGCAGCAGGCGCAGCAGGAGTGGCAGCGGGTGCGGCAGGAGCAGCAGGAGCAGCAGCGGAAGCAGCAGCGAACGCAGCACGAGCATGAACAAGACGGGGAATCCTAAAAGCAGTAGCAGGCAGGGGCCTGGAAGGAGCAGCAGCGGGCGCGGCAGGAGCGGTGGGAGCAGCAGCGGGCGCGGCAGGAGCAGCAGCGGGCGCGGCAGGAGTGGCGGGAGCAGCGGCGGGAGCAGCGGCGGGAGCAGCAGCGGGCGCGGCAGGAGCGGCAGAAGCAGCAGCGAACGCAGCACGAGCACGAACAAGACGAGGAATCCTAAAAGCAGTAGCAGGCAGGGGCCTGGAAGGAGCAGCAGTGGGCGTGGCAGGAGCGGCGGGAGCAGCAGCGGGCGCGGCAGGAGCGGCGGGAGCAGCAGCGGGCGCGGCAGGAGGCACTGGAGCAGCGGGCGGGAACGTCGGAGCTGCAGGTGGAAACATATCAGCAGCAGGCAGAGGCAGTTTATACATATTTGTTTTTGAGTGTTTGTGTGTTTGTTAACGTGCTTTTGTGAGTGTGTTTGAGTGTGAATCTTTATGTGTGTGTGTGTGTGCCTGTGTTAGTGTGTGTTTGTGTGAATTTGTGTGAGCGTGAGTCTGTGGGTGTTTGTGTTTGTGTTAGTGTGTGCTAGTGTGTGCTAGTGTGTGCTAGTGTGTGTTAGTGTCTGTTGGTGACTTGGAGTTAGATGAGAGGTCCTGTGCTGGAGGTCTGAGTGTCTGGAGGTCTGGAGGTCTGGGAAGCTGGGGGTCTGGGTGTCTGGGAAGCTGGGGGTCTGGGTGTCTGGAGGTTTGGAGGTCTGGAGGTCTGGGGGTCTGGAGGTCTGGGTGTCTGGAGGTCTGGGTGTCTGCGGACCTGAAGGCCCGGGGGCCTGGAGCAGTCGTGGCCCTTGGCTCACACAGACCTGTGGGAAGAAACATTTGTGTCAGACACCAGAACTAACAGGACGCACATACAAGAGTACAGCAAACCTAGAGTACTAGTGTACTAGTTATGTGTTGACAAAAAAGATTAAAAATAAAAATATTAATTACAAAAATTAAAATTTTTAGGGTATGTACCGCTTAAAGATAGACAGTTTGTTAAGTCAAAAAAGGCAGATTTTGTACTTCATTTTCGATGTAATCAGTTTCATCAGTTTTTTTGAGTAGTAGTAAACAGTTTAAATCAGATTTTTTTTTAAATCTCACTGTATTATAAATGACCCTACTTTTAGGAATTTTCAGTGGGGTAATACAACTGTTGGGCAAGTTACTTCAAAACTGAAATTCGTTATTTATGACTTGTTACTGTCATTTCAAAGTAATCCATTACATTACAATATTACTGCATTTAAAATGTAAGACATTACATGACTACTGCAGCACTTTTAAATAACTCTCACCAAAATAACTGAACCAGGACTAGGACCAAACAAGGTATAAACCAGATATAAACCAGGACCAGAGCTGACCCAGAGCTGAACCAGAACTGAACCAAGACTAAACCAGGTCTAAACCAGGTCTAAACCAGAACTGAGCCAGGTCTGAATCAGGACTAAACCGGGACTAAACCAGAGATGAACCAGGACTGAACCGGGACTAAACCAGAACTGAACCAGGACTAAACCGGGACTAAACCAGAGATGAACTAGGACTAAACCGGGATTAAAACCGGGACTAAACCAGGACCAAACCAGGACCAAACCTACGCGGGTGCACCTCCGGCGCTTAACTGCTGCTAATTTGTATGAAGAGAAACGAAAAAGCCACCACTTCAACCCAGGTTAAAAAAGCTTTGTAACGCGTGTTACTGACATTTGTACCTTGTCAGATTTTTTTTTTCTCCCCTTCAATGCCTTACAGTATTCTGCTGCGTTACAGCAAAAAGCAATGCATTACAGTATTCGTTACTTTTAGTCACAAACCTCTGGCTTTTTCGTCCCAAGAGAATTGTAGTCCGAGTCAGGGGGCGGTCAGAAGCAATCTGTGTAGAAATATCCCGAAGATCAGTCTGGTGTAGATAAATATCTTGAAATGAAGCTTAGGAGCGCAGTTTGTGATCTCGATCGAGGGTTTGCAAAGTTTGCAATGTTTGAAAGATGCACGTAGCAACAAAAATAACAACAGCGCGCACGTGCGCACTTACGTAAGCACGCTGGGGTCTTGGCGCGTTCTACGCAGTCCCTAAGCCTCATGCAGACAAAATTATGTTTTGTTTTTTTTAAGCGGAATTAAACACTTAATTCCTAATGATTATTCGGAATAAAATTTTAATCCGAATTATTTAATTATTTATTCCAATTTTAAAGCCGAATTAATTTATTCCACGATCATGTAAACGTTTGTGTGTTTGTGTCCCCGTACTTCTGTTCCCCGGTGCCTATGTAATTGTGAAAGGCACCGATGTCCCGTTAACACCGCGAGCCGTCCTCATCCCAAGTTATCATCATAAAACAGCAGCATGCAGCTAACTTTACACAACTCACCGCACATCAGCAGAAGCACTAAGTTCGGGTAACAGCAGATAGCAAAAAGTACCCGTGGCGGGTCCTGATACTAGTAGGGTAGCTTGTTGCCGGAGTCCACAACTTAGTCTAATGACAGTCTAGACTTTCAACTGTTCTGCCAGTCTTTTTTCAACTGTTCTTGCAAGTGTTTAATTCCTGTAAACTATCTTTTGGCCCCATGAAAAATATCTTTCTGCAAGTACTGTAATGTTATAACCTGTTAACTAACTCTGTGGGGTACTTTGTTGTTTTATAGTATGAAAATCTAAAATATAAGACGCTAATAGCGTTAGCATACCTATGTAAATTTCCATTAATGTTAGCATGATGCTAATCGCTTGTTTTACAGATGTTTTTATGAAGTCCTAATGCTATTGTTATTGTTATGCATATATACTGAATTATTAAGCTATACATTGTTTTTTGTAGCTCTACTTCTTTGTTCATTTACATGTGAATACATAATTGTAATTTTTTGTATGTTACAGTTTTACAATCACCTCTACAGTAAATGCCCAAAACAGCAAGAAGCTTCCTGGATTTTTCTTGGAGAATCTGTTCGCTATCTGTAAAGCTAGTTCCTAAACACTAGTGGAGGCAGAATACCAAGACTAAACCAGGAGTTAAATCAAGACTAAACCAGGACTACACCAAGACTAAACCACGTCTAAATCAGTGCTAAACCAGGACTAAACCTGGACTAAACCATTAAACACTGCCTCTGTTCAACTGTACATTTTGGACATCTCTTAATTACAAATGTATATTTGTAGAACTTTTCCTTATTTTTTGTCTGTATCACCCATCACAAAGGTCACGATTGGGTTCGGCGGGCGCATGGTGACAGAGGAGTGTCCGATGGCGATCACAGTCCTCATCATTCAGAACATCCTGGGCCTCATCATAAACGCCGTGATGCTCGGGTGTGTTTTCATGAAGACGGCGCAGGCCAACCGTCGAGCAGAGACTCTCATCTTCTCCAGAAACGCCGTGATCGCACCTCGAAACGGACGGCCCACCTTCATGTTCAGAGTGGGAGATCTGAGGAAGAGTATGATCATCTCTGCCACTATTCAGCTGCAGGTAACCAGAGTGGAAAAATATTTACTTGTGTTTTTCTCTGCTCCTTTTGGACATCTGTGGCCTTTTTTTCCAGTTGAATACACAGTCTAAACCAGGACTAAACCAACACTAAACCAGGACTATAGTCAAGACTAAACTGGGTCTACTGCAAGACCGAGTGGGTATATGGGCACCTGGGCTGGCAACCATTTTGTGTGCTGTGGTCCAAGACAAGAAAAATATCTGATGAAGGCTTTTTTTGCCGAAACGTTATTTTGTTAATAAAATAGTATTTGGACATCGGCCAACCGAGTGTGCTATGCATTTTTTCACCCTGATCTACTGCAAGACTAAACCAAGACAAACCAAGATTAAGCCAAGATTTAACCAGGACTATACTAAAACTAATCCAGGACTAAACCAGGACTAAACCAAGACTAAACCAGGACTATAACAAGACTAAACCAGGACTAAACCAAGTCTTCTGTAAATGTATGTTTGTTGTGAGGGGGAGCGGTTCCATGTACGGCTGCCTGTAATGCCAGAAGAGGGCGCTGTGCACTCCACCAGTACTTTTGTTTCACTTTACATTATTGTGTATGAGCTGTGGACGCGTGGTGATATTATCAGTGTTTATTTGGCCTGTCACAATAATTTGCTGAAGAAAATATAGGTGATAAATGATAATACTGAAACTAATTTATGCTACTGACACAATCACCCTAAAGTAGAATTATCCCAAAAACTATTGTAAATGTACAATATGGTTAATAAACACAAACTGCAATAAACAAATAGCACAATGAAACACTTCATTTGTATCTATAATGAGTCGTAGTTAAGTGCAGCTCAAGTCTGATCATAGAACAAAAAAATAACAAAGTTCCCCACTGATTGACCCTTAGAAATGATTGTTCCATGTGCCGTGTATTGAACGATAAGTTGCTGTAGTGATTATCATGACAGGCCTAGTGTTTCCATTGTCTTTTCTTTTTTGGTGAGTCCTGTCATTACTCCAGTGTACAGTACAGAAGTACAGAAGTAACACAAACGTTTGTACTGCACAGAGCAGGAGAACAAACTCGATTTTGATACTGAGGAATTTACATTGTCATAGACTTGTAACGATATCCAAGTCTCACGACACAATATCATCACAGTATGAACTTCACGATACGATATTTACTGCGATATCGTGGGAAAGGTCACGATATGGTGGGGAGGCTCACGATTAGGGATGTAACAATATCCAAATCTCTCAGTACGATATTTTACGATATACATCTCACGGTACGATATTTATTGCAATATTTTGTGGAGGCTACCAAAACGGTTAATATGCTACTTTTTCCACTTAAAATGCCTTTACAAGACTTAATCCAAAGAACTAAGACTTAAAAGTTTTAAAACTGTTATTTCTTCTTGTAGTCTGCACTGAAACAGAGCAAAGGATCATGGTCTATGTAGTTCCCTCTGTCTTTGCTGCTACTGCTACACCATAACTCTTCATTTAAACAAAGAGACTTGTAATTCGATATATTGTGATGGTCCATGATATTATTATGAGAACTTTGATGATACAATATTACGATATTTTGGTTATTGTTACATGCCTACTCAATACTGATTACAATATCATGATGACACCAATACTGATATTCTTTCTTTAGACAGTAGAATGTGATTTTCAATGTTAATCGCTGTACCTTTATATATTCAAAAGGTCTTATGTTACTCCTCAGTGGTTCAGGAAGGTTCCATAGTGGTTCATACTCATCTACTACTACTAAATATACTATGTGCTCTTATACTTGTTCTGATACAGCTCAAGATCATTCTAACGACATTCAGGAAAGGTTTATTTCTGTCCTGTCAATGGGACTTTTTAGTATCGATACCTGTGCAAATGTACTTTTGATACTAGTTTTAGTATTGATTAGTATTTGATTTTCAGTACTTTTGACAACCCTACTCACTGATCACCCAGAGTTTACCTGAGTACACTGTTTGTAAAGGGCTTTAGTTCCTTTTTAATCGATTGAAAACAAAGCCATATTTTTTATTCATGAGGTGTTTGTAGCTCAGTGGAGCTGGTGAACACAAGTCTCAAGAGGTGGCTTCCAGTTACACTTTCAAAATGCACAACCACTATACTCTCACTCTCTCTTCAATCATCAACAATCTGAGAATTGAGGCCTTAAAAATAAAAATGCCAAACCAACAAATTTTATTTTAAAATGTGTAGGTCACCCTCACTGTGTCTTTCCCCCGATATGTCTTTAAAGGTCCTATATGACACAAAATTGACTCTTGACTCTGCTGTTACCTCATCAAACACAGACCTGGAGTTGTATTTTCATTCAGACATGTATGAAGAACTCTTTATTATTAGTCTGTCTGTCTCCATCTCAAAAGCTCAAAACGTTCAGTTCTCCATCTTGTGATGTCATGAAGTTATAGTGTTCAAATTAACATCTCCTTTTACATTTATTTCCATAGAGTTTTGCAAGTCCAGAGCTGAAATTATGCAAATAATTCCAGCAAAGGTGTATGAATTCTTAAAACACAGTGGAACACTTCCCTTGTCCTTGTCCCTGTGTGTTGTAGGTGATCCGGCGCACAGTGACCACAGAGGGAGAGGTGATCCCCGTGTGCCAGCTGGACATCCAGGTGGAGAACCCTCTGAGGTCCAACGGGATCTTCCTGGTGTCTCCTCTGATCATCAGCCACACCATCGACCGCGGCAGCCCCCTCTACGAGATGTCCGCCCACAGCCTGGCTGCAGAGGACCTGGAGATCATCGTCATACTGGAAGGTAAAGACAGCAGAGACTGATAACTATATTGCCTCATTGTTTTTGGGCTCAGTATTTATCACGTGTACAATTTCTATGTAAAAGTGGGAAGATTTGGGGTATTTATGTTGCAAGATGATAAATTTGAGCTGTAGAGGGCTGAATAAGTAACTTCTATGGCTAATTATTGCTTCATTCTGCGGTTTATCTGTTGTTTTTGTTTGGCTACTGGAGTTATCTTACATTGTTGTTATCGTATCAGTTATTAGTAAGTAGTTTCAGTGTTATCGTTTATCGAAATGCAGTATAGAAATATATCATGCTTTGAAATGTGTTATTATGACAGGCCCAGGGAAATTGATTAATAGTGCTCTACTCCTGTACTCGTTTAGTCCAGGGGTCTTCAACGTTTGTCAGGCCAGGGAACCCCAAACTGATAGAGATCTGGAGCAGGGACCCCCAACTATATATATGTTATACCATTGTGTTTTATTTCAAATTGGGCCTAGTGTCTTGTAAGAACAGCTCCTCTGTTATTGTACATTCAATACTAGGGGGGTATTCCATCAAAGTCGCTTCACAAGTCCAGGCTTATCCTGAAGTCCTGAGCTGAATCTAGCTCCATCTCCAGTTTAAGACTCAAGTCGTTCCATGACAGAAATAAACCTCCGACCAAAACTAATTCAGACCTGACGTTTAAGATGCACTTTGTGCTCGCGGTGACTCTGAGAAGGACAGAGAGGAGCCATAGCTTGCTCGGACATGAGTTTGATTTGGGCCACAGAACTTTTCCGGTCATTCTGATCTGAGGAGCACGAGGAAAGACACAACTCTCCCCTCCTCACCTGTTTGCTCCCCCTCCTTTCCCGGTCACTCCATGTATAGAGAGGAGGTTAATGCAGGCCGGGGAATGAAGGTGCCTGACCCCTTCCCAATGTGTAGTAGTACGTGTGGAGCTTAAGTTCCACTGTGCATAAAAATGCGGTTGTAACGGAACTCTTCTAGCCTATAAGAAACGATCAAATCCAGGGCGATGTGTTTGCAGTTTGACAGGGAGTAAGAGATGAGGAAATGAAGAGAGAGAGACAGACGTGATGAAGGAGAGAACAGACAGATCCCACTGAAAACCACTTCATCCTCATCCTTCAAAAATGAAGAGATTAAACAAAAAAAGAAGTCTAATCAACCAAAGATTTCACAACCCCCCCCCAATACTTCTACGACTCCCCTAGGGGTCGCGACCCCCTGGTTGAAGACCTCTGGTTTAGTCGATTAATTGGTCAGTGGTGTCGACTAATCATTGTTTTTAGATTATAAGGGTTTATCTGAACCAACAGCAGAAACTGGGAGTGAGTTAGCTTAGTTAGATTTTTTTTTTTGTATTTATATGTAAAGGCAGATTAAATTTATGAGCGACATATCTCGTTATAATACATACATTTTGACTTGCCAAAAATGTAAAATCAAAAGGTAAAAATACCCATCAGTCCCTTCTGTGTCCCAGGAGTGGTGGAGACGACTGGGATCACCATGCAGGCGCGCACTTCCTACACTCCCGACGAGATCCTGTGGGGGCGCCGTTTCGTCTCCATCATCACAGAGGAAGACGGGCGCTACTGCGTGGACTACTCAAAGTTTGGGAACACGGTGCCCATCCGAATGCCCTCGCTGAGCGCCAAAGACCTGGACCAGACCCGAGGGGTACAGGACAGCGGGGACGACACACATCTACAGGTAAAATACGCCTTTAAACTCGGAACATATTAAGGTGCACTGTGTAACATTTCTGAGGGACAATCTGCCCCTCCATGTCACTCTCTTCATTTTGGTCTTAAAATGTGAATGTGGGCGGGAAGCTTCAACAGCCTTGCTCCAAATAGGTTCTTTTGTTTCTATGGTAACTGTGGTCAGAATTCCAAATATCCTTCAAATTTGAGGTCGGTTGGATGAGCAGTTCGAGAGTTTTGCGTGGAAGAGACAAACAAACAGACACACAGACAGACATTCCTTGCATTAACATTAAATTTATTTAGGTTTACATAACAATCGCATTAGACAAGCCAGATGCATTGCTTTAACTGTTTTAGCACAAACAGTTTTCAACACCTGTCCATATAAAAAATATAAAATGCATGCATAAAAACAGACAAGACACATAAGTTACATACACATGAGATATATACAGTACCACTGGGAGCACCTCCTGTAGCTGATCTGTTTGACATAAACTTGTGGCTGGAGCATTGGATAGAACTAAGCTGTGATATCTCTCACATGTGTCTGAGTGCTTTTCATTCCCCACATCACCTTGATTTGTCATATTCTGTGTTTTATCAATGGAGTTTGTCCTTTGAGATCCCATTGTGACATTTTTACAGACTTTTAAAGAATCTATTATTTTATTGAAACTACCCAGACATTTAGTCATGCATAGTCTTACATAACTTTAAAGAGGAGATATGATGCTTTTTTGTACCTTGTTAAAACACTGTTCCCTCATCAAAAAGAAGAAGAGCTTGTAGACGTCATAAATGCATGTTTCAGTAATCTCTCCTGGGCCCTATTTGAATTCTCCTTACAGTTAGCTGTGAGGTTCTGCCCACTACTCCGCCCACAAGTTTACATCACTCATGCTGTACACAAACCTAATCTGACGTGCAGTAGTTTCATTTGCGGGACTGATAGTGTTGTGAAAGCGCTCTGAAGGAGGAATGACTTAGGGCAAAGGGAGGGATACTTATGAAACATGTTACAGTATATATTTACATTTTTTCACATAATAAAAAATCTCTGTTGTTGTGCTTGCAGGGCTGGGGTTTGGTGCGGGCCGGCAGAGGAGGATTCAGGAGAGGGAGAGGAGGAGGAGAGAGCACACAGCCCTGGTACGCTCCGGTGCAGCCCCCGGTACAAACTCCACATTCTGAACCAGCGCACAGCATTCTGAAAGACCACCAGCAGGGAGCACTGTCTCCTCCCAACGAGGGGGAGCCAGGGGAGCGGAGAGGACAGAAGAAGACTGTGACGCTGGAGGTGATTGGACGACAAATAGAAGAGGACTCACTCGGAGAAATCAGCGACTAAACCGGGACTAAACTTGAACTAAAACCGGATTAAACATGGAAAACCTAAACCGGGACTAAGCAAGATCTATAAGCAGGATCAAACCAGGACTATGTCAGAACTAAGCAAGATTAAAATGTGATTAAACCTAGACCAAAACAAGAATAAATAAGAACTATATACACATGATCAAACCAGGCCTATACTAAGACTAGATTAAGGAAGAACAAGAACTACTAACAAGAACTAACAAGAACAAGAACAACTTTTGCAGTACCTTGGATTTAAATTATGACAGAACCTGGACTAAACCAGGTCTAAGTAAGGCCTATAAGTAGGACTATATAATATTAGAGTAAACCATGACTAAAGGAATAATACAACAGTACTAGATATGGACTAAAACAGGAATAAACCAGGACTAAACCAAAGCAAAGACTGTAAAAACTAAACCAGCAAAGGTCTATGACTAAACCATCATTAATTGCCAGTCTAAAAATGGACCAAAACAGAACTAAATCAGACCTGAACGAGACTAAACTGGGTTTTATAGCCATATACCTCGAGTGTATAGTATTTATGTATGATTATTCTCTTCCTCTAAAAGTGTTTGACATCTTGCCTAGGTTTTTTTTTTCTCTCTTTTTTTTTATTGGGGTGAAGTTTATTGATATTTTGCAGTGACATCATGCTGGGGGTGTTCATTCTGTGGCAGAATGTTCAGCAATTACCATGGTCACACAATGCACACATAAGCAAATGCAGACAAAGTGTTAAGAACAACTCAAACTGAACACTGAACAAAATGGGTTTAAACATCTCATTTCAAGAGCCTGTGATAAAACGAGATGTTTGATTTTTAACCAAAAAGGTGAGAGTGTGAAAGTGTTACTAATGCTGCTGTGCTTGTGACTGTCATCTAATGTGTGAGGGACTTGTTTAACAGCACAAATCAGCTCACCAAATCAGTTCTTTATGATTGTGTCAAAACTTTGATTAAGTCCAATTTGAGTAACAGAGGTTTTACCAGAGTAGTTCTTCAGAGGGAATCTTGTTGACACCAGCTGCAAAGTATCAATAATTGTATTTCCTGGTTGGACATGGGCATCATGTATGATAGGGGTGAGCAGTTCTTTTTTTTTTCATGGGGCCACATGAGAAACTGAAAATATTGTGGAGGCCAGGCTAAAATGCTTAACTCAATTCTGCATAATATTAATGGTCTTCCTTTATAAAAAGCAGTGAATAGCATTGTTTTGACAAGCTGCTCAGACTGGGAGGAGTTTATGTTATGACCAAGCAATGAAAAAGTGAGGTCTTCTTACAAAATTGTCAATAAAAGCAATGCAGCTTTAGTCCGTGTATGAGGTCAAATGATAAAATATGTTTATTTTGCTATTCCAAATGAGCTTAAAGGGGCCAGTTAGAGTCAAACAAAGTGTGTATGTGGCCCCGGAGCTGGACAATCCCCAGGTCTGAGATATGACATACGTAGAGGTAATTCCATTTCTGTTACCTAGCAACCTAAATTGAAGAATAGTTAGGATTAAAAAATAAATGATGTCTTTATTTTGTTGAAGGGTTAAACTGCCAGGAAAAAAAATACATTCCGTGTGCATAAACTGTCCCTGCATTTTGGATGGAATATTTTGTATTAATGACATAGAGGTATTTTGTTTTAGAAGTCAGCTCTACTTTGTGTCTTTTTTTCTTCCAACATTTTCCACAAACCAGTTAATCAATGTAAAACTATGATCAATAACCAATTAATATTAGAATAACATGAAACCCTGTTAGATGCATTGTACACCTCTTAAAATAGTTTAACACATCCCTTGTTTCTTGTAATACTGATAAACGTTGAGTCATGTCCATATTTTTTTGTGTCTAATATTTTCCAAAGCACAGTCGACTGATGATGTTCTTGTATAAATGTAACAGCAAAACTGGCTCAAACCAACAGCACAGTGACTTTTAAACCGCAAAACACTAACTTATGCTGCCCACTATTATGAATGTCTATTGATAAAGTGAAATCTATTAAATATTTTGTAAGAAAATGTTCCCAATGGTGTGTGTTCTTTTAAAACTGATCTATCTCCATAGAGACAAGCAGATGACACGACCAAACCAAGTTTCAGGTCAGATCTGTGGAGCGGCAACCCCGTTCACACCTCATGTTTTTCCTAGATATTTTAGCAATAAAAAGACATCACATTTGAATTGATGTTCAATGTCATAGTGAGGAAAATTCCGTACTTATTGCTTATTACGTAACACGGACCAAGTAATTTCAACCAAACACTGAGAAAAATTTTACATTTAGGAATAATGTAGGCTGCTGGGATGTGGTTTGATTCATTATTAGAAATTATTAGAAAAGCCAAAATATTGTATTAATGACTGATTTATTGGAAACTAGACACTAGAAATGTGTCAAAACTTTATGATGTTTTAAATTGACAAGAAACAGGATGGCCATTTGAAATAATGCATTATGGACCTGTTTCCAGTCTGAGTTCAGATGAATGTGGAATTTGGTACAAATGATGTTGACATGTCTTGTCACAATCAGTTTGTGGAGAGGATTTGTCTTTAAGAATACAATTTTTTCCTCCGAACAAACAAAAAACAAAAGACTCAGAGCTTGTAATGTCCTGAGGTGTGCACTGATGGAAAATAATAGTCAGAAAAAGGTAGCAATCTAATCACGGTGAAGGTGTCTGGCTCCCAGACCTGGCTCCACCTCTGAAGGGACTGCTTGAATTTTATCAAGGGGAAGGATGTTATTACTAAGTGATGTGACGTTCCGTGTCGAGTCTTCGAAGCGTGTGCCGAGTAGAGGAGGGGGCGTTTCCGCGAAGCGCTTATCGAGGCTTGATTCATTTAGAGGAGCTGAAAATGATGACGTCCGAAGCCTCGCTGCCCGGCTGTACCACGTGACTGATTCAGGAAGTGGTTCGGGTTTTGTCGCGAGTTTTGACAGCGATATAAACTGCTCAGTCTTCATTCAAAATGTGGGTGTTTGAGGGAGAGTTGCGATCAGTGAGAGTTTGGAAGTTTGGAGACAGTTTAAACTCACAAAAAAACTATTCTTATTTCTTAGGTAACAACCTGTGGCGTCGCCTGGATGACAGAGTCAGGCAGACACAAACACAAAATGTAATAGCAGACGCAAATATTGAGGTCCAACGGTACATGATGGAGCCAAATATTGGCAGGCTGGAGGACCCCCTTCAATACTGGGAGAGACAGAAATATGTCTATCCCCATTTATATAAATTAGCAGTGGCATTCTTGTGTACGCCTGCCTCATCTGTGCCCTGTGAGCGGGTGTTTACGAAAGCAGGAGAAATATTGTCAAAAAAAAGAAATGGCCTGAGACCTGCCACAGTGGAGAAACTGTTGTTTTTAAATAAAAACCAATGATGTGTCCCTGAACCATAATCACCCAACGTTACAAAAGCACAATCACTGTCCATACTCCAACCCCAACCACCCTCACCTCACTGTAAATGATCATTAGCATTTTCATAATTTCCAAATAATAATTTTCCATACTGCCAGTATATATATATAAAGCATATATAAAATATATATATATATATATATATATATATATATATATATATATATATATATATATATATATACACACACACACAGTATACATCACTACAATATACATGTTTTGCATACTTCTTTACTTTGCTGACAGTTTTATTCACAGGCTTTCTGCAAAATGCAACACACTTCAAATTCATGTCAACTGATATTTTTTGCATCCAGTAGACGTCCTACTAGAGCAAACGAAGCTCCAGGAAGCTTTGCACTAGAGTGAACCAATTGGATGAAAGGCTTCAATGCTTCATGAAGCTTCATCTGCCCATCACTAGTTATTACCCTTCTTCCTACGGGATTTGAAAAAAGCTTATACCAGTTCGCCCTGTTCTTGGCGCATTACATGCGTCACGACCAAATAGCAGTGTAAGAGCCTGGATAGCAACCGTAGCGGTTTTAGAGGAACACAGTCAAGTCAAGCCGATTTATAGTGCAGATCCCCAGTGCATTTATTCCAGACAAAAATAGAAAAATATTTACAAAAGTCACAAAAGGTTAAAAACAGGCATGGCATCACACAGCCCCTCTCTTAGCCCTGACCTAATTGGGTGAGCCCAACTTAACGACCAGGTAAGTCCCAATCCTTTTACATTTAATTTTTAAAAGTTAGCTATCAAAAACAGTGCCAAAAAATATTCAATTACATTTAAATACAAAAATATATATCTTTATTTAACTTAGCAGTGTTTAATAACCAATTTAAAATACTAAATAGAAAAAGTTAAAATCTGTGCTCCCCTCCTCCAAACAACATGGTTGGCTGCCCCGGAACCTTCTTAAGGTGCTCCAGCTCCCCGGGGATTCTTTTGGCCAGAACACCTGAGGCAGACCACACCAGAGGGTAAATAGAATTCATTCAACACAATTACTTAAATTTAAATGCACTTATTCTTTTACTTATTTCCTTTTACAGGTAACTTCACAATCTGCACATAATCAGTTTTTCAATAAACATTTTTAAACCTTTGTTTCTGTTTGTTTCATTTCCTCACCTGTTAGCCCTAGGCCCATGTAATGGACTACATTACAAGCAGCGATTGGTTAAATAAAAAAAAGTACCTGTGTACCGTCGAGCGAACGAATTCTAACATTGCGAGGTCAGACGGTTTCTACGAAGTGAAACCGTCAACTATAATAAAACACAAGAAAAAGTATTAAACTTTGTAGCACACGTACTAATGTGAAGTTTAGTTTTAAATTATTTGTTTTAAAACTGATTAATCATAACAAATATATAACATCAAAAACATGTCATCCATGCATGTGTAACACAAATGTGTTAGGGCTAGGGGCAGACTACGGCCACAAAGGCTGCATCAGAAGATTGTTCTTTTAGGAGCCTGAGTGTGAATTAAGAGACAGACAGGTGAAGTATATTGAAAGTAGTTCAACAGAACAAAACAACAAAAACAAAATAGAAAATAAAAAATAGTCCAGTTATTTGGTATTTTTCATGTCAATAAGTTAATAATTCAATATCAATTCAATAAGTCATTTAATAATTTAAATCATTAAATTAAATTAAATTATTAATTAAGTTAATAAAGTAAATTCAGTAAATTTATCATAATTAAGTGCACTTAAATCAAAGAATTATCAAACATGCTCAAGCAGAGGCCGATAAACTCAAAGTATTGCCCAATATCACTGTTTCAAACCAACTCAATTCAATAGATGAACTCCACCGGAGTTTTAGCAAATACGGGAAAACGTGCTAAAACTGCACAAAGTAATCAAAGTCGTGGAAAACAAAGTTAGCGACTAAATTAACCAATCTGTTACCTTCATTTCGGCCTTCTTATTGTTACAAAAGGAAAATCAGGTACCTCTGAATTTCGGGTTGTGATCTTCTCTCCACACACGGCCCGGTTTGTATGAATCTGTATGGAGGCTCTATGAGAATCAGAGACGTGGCATTAGCGAATTTTACAGAATTAAGTAGTTTAGCGGAATTGTTGAAAGTGATGATTAAATCGGCAGTGTTCTAATAATGCGGCAAAACACTCACCTCATTGTGGATGTTGTAGGATTCGTGGTTTAAGAGTTTGTTGAAATAGTTTGCCGACGCCCAGACCACGCCACAGCCACAGCGGAGCGGAGGAGGAGGAAGTGACACGTGACCCCGCAACTTACAGGAAGTAATTAAGTAATTACTAAGCGTGACTCATGATTAATTAAGTCTTAGTTCATTATGAATTCAGTCTTTGTTCATGCTTTATTAAGGCTAAATAAGCTGTAGTTATTATAAAGTCTTACCAGATTTTGTTTTGGGTTTTCTTGTCACGATCTGCATGTAGGTCTGAAATACACAGTTCTGACACATGAGAGAACGAGTGAGTCAGCAAATTTATTATCGTCATTCTGGATCAGCATTTCGACAGAATCTCCTGTCGTCAGTAGGGCCAGTATTTCTGTGTTTTTTCCTTTCACTGCATATATGTGTGAATTGGGATTTTCTGTGCTCACAAAAATGAAAACAAAGCACAGAAACAGACTGAATATTTTCAATAATTAAATTAAATAGCAATAATACAGGTCAACAGTAAATCATCCGCATAGCCTGTCTATCCCCCCCGGCACACACATATGCTCATGCACACACACACACACACACACACACACACACACATATGCACACACACACACACATACGCATATGCACACACACACACACATACGCATATGCACACACACACACACGCATATGCACACACATACACACACGTATATGCACGCACACACACGTACACACACGCAGGCATATACACACACACAGACACACACATAAGGTTCACACTGTCACCAACCCCTGTCATCTTTGTCCCTATTTGTATGTAATCTTCAATCATAATGTCTGTCTTGTTTCTTGTATGTTGTTTGCTTCCTATTTGTTGTAATCTATGTAATTTGCCAAAAAAAAAAAAAAAAAAAAGAAACAGACTGATCTGCTGCTGCGTCTCCTCCTGCACCCGGACTGTAACATGCTACAAAAACACAGACAGGCTCACCTATCTCATTAGAAATGTTGAAATATTAAGACAATTTTGTATCATTTCTAATCTTTTTTAAATAATTTTTTGACTATTTTGTTCCAATATTACTGGTTCAATTGAATGTTGAAAAGAAAAAGAAATGGGCTACATTTAATGTCCAAATTTGCAATTTATGGAGCCTATTATTTACTGCTTTAATTATTGTTTTTCATTGTTTAAAACTTGAGTGATACTAATTGTTCAGAGATCATGCAGTCAGCAATAAAATATCCGCATTAATGTTCAATAATGCTCAAATCTACCTTTACTTTGTGATTTACGAATAATGTCTGTTGACTTGGGTCGCGAAGGTTTGTGACTTTTAAAATATGGGTCACTGGAAAAA